AAAAAATGGATAAGGAATTATTTAAGCTCTTTGGATTTTATATAATCTCTTTGGAGAAATAAAAATCGATTGGAAATTATAAAAGCTCTTTGGAAAATAAAAAAACTAATAAAGAATTATTTAAGCTCTTTGGAAAATAAAAAAAACTGCTAAAGAATTATTTAAGCTCTTTGGAAATTAAAAAAAAACTGATAAGGAATTATTTAAGCTCTTTGGGATTTATATAATCTCTTTGAAAAAATAAAAATCGATTGGGAATTATATAAGCTCTTTGGAAAATAAAAAAACTGATTGAGAATTTTATTAGATCTTTGGGAATTATTCAATCATATACACTCTTTGGCATATATTTTTCATCTATAGCCACAATTTTTTTCCTTTAACCAATCAACAGAGGCGAACTGTTTGCTTTCGCGACACATTACTTACCTCTGCTGACCATCGTTTATTGATAAACACACTACATCAAAGTTAGAGCAACGATAGGTCAATCTCCCACTCATTATCTCTTACAAGGTTATTATTTATATATAATATACTATACGATACGGGGCTCTTATCTCCTAAATGTTGCTCTTCGAGCCACGTAATATTTGACTTAACTAATTATCTTAGAAAATAATCTTCTCTATTCCTGGTTTGCATAGCACACTCGTCATCCTCTTTTCTTGACAGAACTTTTCTAATAAAATTGGTAACAGCATCCCTTTGGATTTTTACTGCAGAATGGTAGTCACCATGAATTCCGGAGTGATGACGTTATTGATCTCCACCTCCACCACCTATCACAATCTATAAATGTGTGTTCACGTCATCGATTGGATGATTGCAGTACACGCATACGCCGTCGTTCCGCTTTTTAAATCTATACAAGTTCTCGTTTGAAACAGTTTAGTCCCGTCAGAAATTGCGTCATGTGAAAATCTGTAGATCCGCGTTTTCTGTTGATTCAGACTGGGATCGATGAAATTAACTTGTGCGTTCACCGTCCGATAATGACCGCGTCCCATAAATTTTACCAACTGACTATCGTCAGGCTTCTGGTATCCTTTTTGGCTATTCCTCTGTTCTTGCCATTTTTTTTGGCTTGCTCCACATAAGCTCTCTCCGTGCTTAACATATAGACCTCAATGATACCCGCTATTACCAATATGACAGCGTTAAAAGTGGTGTAATATGCATGAGCTATTCTCAGAGCCATCTTTTTCTGCGGAAAAGAGAGTTTGGCTTTGATACGCTCATACATGATCGCGCAATCCCAAATGGGAGCGGCGTACAGCAGTTGTGAGTGCACAACCATTGTGTGCAGCGTCCTCTTTCAGATGAGTGCCCACATACGTATGACATCAAGCGCGCCAGTGCTGCCGCAGTTTTGGTAGCTTTTTTCGCTGGCAACTTCAATATGCTTTCTGAACCCAAGGACGGAACAACGCTCTACGCCCAGGTATCAGTGCTTTCAACGAAAGTGATTTCTGCATCATTAATTAGGCATGAGAGTTAGATGTATCATCGCTTAGTCGTGAGCATATTGGCTACTGACTTACTACCGGAAAGGGTCAACTCTTGTTCGTGCATCCGAGCAGCCACCGTCTGCAGAGAGTCATTCATGGCATATATCCTGTAGCTATAATCGCCACATCATCGGCGAAACACACTAAGTGCCGGTGCAGCACGTTTGGGAATTTTTACCTGTTTAGTTTTCAAAATCCACACAACGTTTGGGCACTCTATATCCCTAAAAAGATATCACGTTTGGGCACTAAAATGTAAAATGTATATACTTTTGTTTAAGAAGTATATAAAATATGTACATACATGTATAATATATTATATATTCATATATATCAAAATAATATAGGTAACAAGTTTTATAAAGTGTTAGTTACTATTTATTTTCTAAAAAAATAAAAATAAAATAAATAATAATGTAGCTACAAAAAAGTGATAAAATACGTAAGTTATCTATACTCGTGTTAAATAAAAATAGTAATCTTATATTAATCAAAATAATGAAGGTAATAAGTTTTAGTATTTTTTTACAGAAAAAAAAGTAATATATTATGTAATTATAATATTTATATTTTATTTCCTTGTTAACGAATTCCCATAATTTTTAAATATTCAATTAGTGTTACGTCTCCTCTGTCATAAGCATTCCAATTATCAATCAAAAATTTCCTTTTAAGTTCAGCCTCTTTTCTGGTTTAATTGAATTGATTTTTTTTTTATACTATTTATTTTTAATGCAGTTTCTGTCTGAATGTTAGTTAGAACGTCTACTACATGGTGTATGTTTGGATGCGGATGGTAAAATTGTGCATTGAAATGTTTATGGGAAGCTTCGGGTCCGTTGGTTGTCCTAGTATTATTTATGGGAGCTTCTGCCCAAATATTTGGTGGAAATTGAGACTCTTTATTAATATAATTTTCAAAAATATAATCAGTAAACGTATGGTGGTTATCTGTAGGACAACAAAACCATCAATCATCATCAACTTGTTCAGGTAGTAAGAATGCTTGTCCAATAAAATATTTTAGCCATAACTCTATTTCTGTATTATTTTTATACTGGTTAAGTAAATAATTATTTGATTGGATTTTACAATACCAGATTCGACCAAAATGAAATTGGCATGCAATAATTTGTACATTTGGAAACGATTCATCGATTGCAATATGTGCACTTTTTTCAAAATCCAAATGTATTTTATTAATTTGTATTTCTTTGTTAATTAATTTCTTACAAAGTTCTTTAATCAATGTTCACATTTCCTTATATTTATCAGTTGATTTCGAATTTAAAAAACAATAAATTAAAGGCAAATAATAATTGTTTTGTAAAATGTGGATTGTATATAATTGATAAAAATATGACGTTTTTAGTTTACATTGATTAAGCTCATACGCGCCACTCCGAGGGTCGCGCGTTCTGCTCGCCGCCGATATGGCGCGTATGAACTTAATCGATGTAAACTAAAAACGCGCGTGTATGATACGTCGTGTACGATACGCATCCATGTGAAACGGGCCACTACCGTCGTGCTCGATTAAAGGTATATACAATTATACAGTATATATTTATGTTTTATACATCTATATACAATATACATATATACTAACTACATGCTATATACATAGAGTACCTATAAACTATAGTGCCCAAACGTGTTGTAATATAAGAATAAAATAGTGTCGTCCAAACGTGTTGTGATTTTGTGCCCAAACGTGTCGCAATTTGGGATAAAATGCTCAAACGTGTTGTAGCCCTAAGTGCACATCCTCCGGATATTCCTGTTGCATTAGATCGTCATAAAAGGTGTTCCACAATGTGGGTCCAAGCATTGAACCTTGTAGAACCCCAGTGGTGACCGCTTGCCATCCATTGTCTGTTATTATAGTACGGCGATCGCCGATCGAAGTACGACCTGACCATGACAACGAGATACGCCGGAAAATTTTTACTCTTTTACTCCTTAACGCGGCGTCTATCCCAGGGGAGCGGAATTGAACACGTTCGCCACATCAAGAGAAGCCAGCGCGCAGAACTTGCGATTATATAGTTGTCCGCTACCTAATATGTATCCAAGTATTCCAAGTCAGTTAGTCATTGTTTAATATCAAACATATTATTATATCATATATATATATATATATATATATATGGTTTTATCATTTATGATTAAACCTTTAGCTTCTTTGGTGAGCTTTTAGTTTGTTTTTATGTCACCCCTCCCTTTCTTCAAAAGATACGTCGTGATCCTCATAAAACTAATAGTGTACAAATGTTCATACTGCGCGTACAAATACGTACAAATTGAGCGCAAAAGATTTGCAAAAAATTTTTTATATATTTCTCAAGTGGGGGGTCTGATATGACATCACGCCAACATCTCCCCTCCCCTAAGGGTTTTTGATATAACTTAGCCCCTTTGGCCATACAAATTCTAGGCCACTGCATACAAATTCTTACAAATGTCGTACTAATTGATAGAATAATAAAATTTCCATATTTTTAAAAAGGGGGCTGGCGTAGTGTACGTGTCATGACAGTGTGCGATGATGACCAGACGTCGCAACAGTACTGCAGTTGACGTAGGAGTAGTGGGGGTTGTAATGATACGTGTATGTACTGATACGGCAAACAACGCGCGTCGCTACGCTTATACACGAAAAACTAAATATCTCCAAAAACAATTTAATTGATAAATTTAGGAATTTTCTCATTAAATGATTTAAATGGCTAATCTGCACACCGAGAAATTTCATTAAAAAAAAAAATTGATAAAAATCGGTCCAGTAGAACTTCAGATATGACGTTTTAATAACATATGTATAGATAAAGATATTGATACATTTTTCGGAAAGGACATTATTTGTTACAATTTATGTATATGCCTTAAACTTTAAAGGAACCCTGGAGAGACTTCAATATTCCTTGAACTTACTTTATAATAGATAAAAGACTAAAATTCCTTTCCACCACCTGACGCCAATGAACAGTTCTGAGTGAATTATTTACTTCCCAAAAGTTAATACACTTTTGAACCATCGAACCCTTAAGAAAAATTAATTTCCACGTCACAAAAATTGAAAATTATATTTCCTAGCGATGATCTTCAATCAAAATTATCTTCAAATTATATTAAATTATATTAAAAATAGTGTTTTAGCTGACAGGTTAAAGATGATGATATGCATATACTATACTTTACGTTTTACGTGTTATTATGATATAGTACAAGTCTAAAGATGAGTACGTTCAAATAGAAATAAATACTAACAAAAGTTTGAAATAAATTATATATATATATATATATCTATATACCTCCTACTTACAAATAAAATATTTATGGTCTAAAAGTATAACTCACAAATCTTAATAAATAATTATATGATTTTATACAACACTAAAAATAATAAATTATTTCTTTGTTCATTCAAAACAAATGTAAAATTAAAAATGTTATCTTAATATATCTTATATTGATATATATCAATTAAATAAAAATCTATAATGTATTAAAATTATGAAAGTAAAATTGTACAATTTTCGTACAAATAACATTCTAGATATTGACAAACATAAAAAATCAGAATATTTTCACTACAACTTAAACTTCAATAATTATTTTTAAATTTGTACATTAAATATTACACACAGGTTTTTCACTGTGATTTTTTTTCCAATGTGAGTGATAACCACAGTGGTGGGGCAATTCAAATATTAAATAAATTTAGTTTTTCAATATGAGAATAATAGCGTAGCAATAAAACGCGTTTTGGTAATTTAAGTAAATATTGTTCAAAAATAAAAACATATTATCAAATATTTAACTTAAACAAAATTGGTACAAAATAAATTGTTCGTTATAATATACATTCAGATCTTCATTTTTAACATTAAGAGCTCTTATCAGTTATACATTCATTTTATGGCCTCATTAAATACGTAAGGTAATAATTTGTTTTTTAATTACCATTGAAAATACAAGATAAAGTTAGATTTAGTAATAAATAATAGAAAGAGCTAGCCATGTTGATGGTTTATAGTGAATAATCTTTGGGTTTCTTCTTGATACGTATTTTAACATGGAATAAAGACTAATGATGATAGATTTTGATTATGATGATTATAATTATTAGTAATTTAATGTCAATATGTGTGTTTTTAATGTCAGTAATAAGGTAAGTCAATTACAGTGGTTGGCTTACTCTATTATTGACAATAAAAAAGTTGCGCACACAACCAATTAATTGATTTAAGAATTATTTATCTTGACTCAAAAGCAAAATTCTACGTTATGGTGAAATAAAAATAAAATAATTCCAAATGAATAATAAAAATAAACTGTAAGCAGTCGTGTTTCTAAAACTAGAACAGAACAGTAAGATACGTTATGTTGTGGTGGGATAGAGGGAACAAACAGAAAAAAAGGAATAGAAATAATTACAATAATAATAATAATAATAATAGTAATAATGTGGCGGTGATGGACGAGATCATCATGTGTCAAAATCGTCTTCTTGTTGACTGGAAAAATATGAAACGAGCCCGCCAAATTCACTGTCCCCACCTGCCGTGGTTGATTGCTGCTGCTGATGTGCTGTACTGGGCAGCAGAGTATGTTCATGCAGTGGCGGAGCTACGACCACATTTCGGTATGGAATCAAGGGTGGTGGGGGTGGAAGCGATGCTCCGGTTCCAGCGTAATCAATTGGATATGGTGAATAACTAGTCGATGACTGCTGAGGCTGAGGTGGAGGTGGGGTAGATGTTGGTGCCTGATATATTTGTTGTACTTGAGGTGGTGGTGTAAGGTAAGCGGCTGGCCCAGTAATTTTATTGGCCGCTGTCCGATATGGGGCAGGCATTACAGAAAAACTCATATCACCAGCAGTTCGCGGTACCACTGTCTTGAACACCCCTGCAGCTGCAGACACGGCCACAGGTGGTCTATTATATGTGGGTGATGGTGGAACAGATACTGTTACTTTAGTGGCATCTGGTGCATAAGGATATCCTGCACCTCCCCCATAGTCCACCAAAGGGTTGGGTGATGGACACTTTTTTTGCTGATGCTGGGGCCGCTTGCGCTTGTCTGGAGATCCATGTCCTGGGTCTATAACTGACGACGAATCTTGTTTGTCTAGTCGCTGGACAGCAACTGGTGGCAAGAATCGAAGGTTTGTATGTGGTTCAGCGACCACCGGATCAGATGATGATGATGATACCGGTTCCCTGATCACCGATTGTACACCAATAGGTGGAGGCGGAAGTTTTGTGACAGTTTGATGTGCGATGTGACTTGAAGATGGAGCTGGTGAGGATATTTCCAATTTTGGGTCAACTTTTTCCTCTTCATCCTCATCCTCTTCTTCCTCTTCTACAACTTCATCTTCACCAATATCATCATCGTCCTTTTCATCGTTACTGGCCACCGCGTCGTCTTCTTCCACTTCCAAGGTATGGTCTTCGTTCTCAACTTCTAGTTCTTCATCGTTCAAGACGTATTCGTCTTCTTCATCACTTGCTACTTTACGCTTTTTGGTTTGGACTTCCTAAAGAAAAATTGTTTTACAATAGTATTGTCCATCATTGTTTAATATAATTAAACCAATACAGTAGAACCTCGATTTTCCAAACTAATTGGAAAATTACTACTACTACTTATAAACTGAGTTCAGATAATTGAAAGTTGGATAAAAGAAATGAAAAAATAATCAGTTTTTGATAAACTGACTAATTATATACATAATACAAAAATAATAAAAATGTCCAGTTTACAATATTTATTGATAAGCTAGCAGCACATAAACATTATTAAATTACGTACATGTACTAATAATAAACTGCGATTGGGCGTGTGTGTCTTGATATTTTACACATTGAATATTGATGTTTGGATACATGAATTGAAACGAAATGTTCAAATAATAGAGGGTTCATATAACAGAGGTTCAGATAATCGAGGTTCTACTGGTCCCGTTGATAGGGCTTAGAATTGTATCAACATTCTAATCCAACTTGATTGTAAGAGGCGACTAAAAGGATTAAGACAACCCGATCCTAGAAAACGGTGGGTTGTGGCCACCACAAGGCCCACCACTAGCCGGATTGGGAATCCAGAATAGTGAGAGTCACACCCAGGTTGACTAACCAATGTCAACTTAAACCCCAATTGGTGCCACGGGAAATGGGAGCCCCATCAGGCGGTGGCCTAGGTCATCTTTTGATGCCCCTCAAGGTTGAGGAGCCTACCTCGGCTGTAACGTGGTGGCTATAGAACCAGCGCTAGTATAGTAACAAAACACCCAACCTTGGTATGAGGATGGACCCTAAGGCTTACGCTGACAAAACTTGAAAAGGTACGGTTATACCAGTGCTGGCGGATCAGATCATATATCAACCCAGACTGAGGTCTGAACCTCCATAATTTGTAATGAACTCACATGAGCTAGGAAACGGTTTATGGTTGTATGGCGTTTACCACAAACCCTGGATGAATATAACTGTGTATTATAATGTAATTTTACCTCTTCTGAATCGTCGGATTCAGCGTAAGTTATCTGTCGTCCTCTTGTTCTTCTTTTGGGTTGGTCGTCTGAGTCTGAATCTGAATTCATACCAAACTTGATCTAAGTACAAAAAAGTTCTAGAAAACCTTCCAAAAATATAATGAACATTTAATATTTATATAATATGTACAACCGTAGATTTTTTAAATTTTCGAGCACCATCATTTTCACCACGTTTTCTTTTAGATCCTTTGGCAGCTGGTTTGGATGATAATGACGAAGAAGGGTACGTATTACTACGTTTCTTTTTCTTTTTTCCCCATGTTAAGTCTTCTTCTTCACTATTTGATGAATCTGACCAAGGTCTTGACCTTTTTTTTTTAGAACGTTGATCACTCTCTTCACTTGAATCATCATTAACTATATTAACAGTTTAAATGATTATGTTGTATATTAATTTCATACCAGTACTTTGAAATAATGAATTTATTTAATATTTTATTACTTACTAAAGTCGGGATCAACAACATTTTTACGATTTCGCACAGATCGTCTTGTTGGTTGTGGCCGTCTTTTAACAGAATCATCGCTATACTCACTTAAATCTTCCTCATAATCATCGTCCCCATCTCTAAAATTAACAAACATATTTTTCTTCATAACCTGATATTAATTAGATAATAATTATTGAACATACGAAGGCCCTTTAAAATCTTCATCTGAACCATCGTCTGAACTAATATCTAGATTTGTGAGCTTTTTTGATTTTTTTCGCCCTCTTAAATGTAACAGAGCAGGTGCAATAGGTGAATCCTCTCTATCATTATCGTTTTCATTGTTATCAGAGTCATTCTTTTCGTCATTATCATTTTTATCTGTTTTTATTTCAGCTGATTTTTTTGCTGCAGATTCATCAACACCAGTCTCTTCCTAAAAAAATCAAAATAAGTATTTTATAAAACTTTTATTTATATTAAACAAATTCTTACTAAAATTGCTTCATTGATCATGTCATCATAATCATTAAAACGGTAGCTGACATTAGCTTGTCGCCTAGCTCTTAAAGTATATAATGGTTCTGAATCATAATCTTCTGATTCTGATTCTTCTTCTTCATCTTCAGAAGACTGATGTACTACAGGTGATTTTTCAGATTTAACTTCTTCCGTTTTTGATGATATAACATTTTGAAGACTTATTCCAACATAGGCCAACCGTTTACGTCTCAATTCTTCATTTTCTCGTTTTTTAGATTCTCCATCATATTTTTTTAAAGTTTCTTTTAATGCATTCAACAAAGCTTGCTATAAAAAAAATGAAAAGTTGTCAAAATTGTTATGAAAGTTATTAAGGGAATATATATGCACTAACATGACGACATGGTGGACAGTACCAGTCACCATCAGGAATCACCATAAGTGGAGGGCGGAGACAAGATGCATGCCATCCTTGATTGCAGGTATCACATAACAAAATCCATTCAGGTTGATCACTTTTGTTACATTTTTGACACATGTCATCTTTTAAGGGTTCTCCTTCATCTATATAAAAATAAAAAATTATATATAATTCAATTTTATTGTAAAAGAAAGTCCGCATATTAATTTATAATACATAATATTTATAAAAACCTTTTTTATGAGCAGTTCGCGCTCTTTTTTCAGGCAAATACTCTTCATCTTCGTCATTAATATCTGATTCAGGGGAAAACTCATGGTCTGAAATGTTAGGTTCAATTCCCGGTCTAGGAATTTCTTCCTCTTCTTCATGATCATAGTCTTCAAATAATTCTAGATTGTTTTCAGAAGAACTGTAAATATTGTTAACAAACAAATTAAAAAAAAAAAAAATGATCCAACAAATTAATAAAAAAAAATATTTACATACCTAGATTCAGAATCAACATTCCAAGGATTTACCATATTTATTTTTTTCAAAGAATCAGACTTTCCTTTCCTTCTTTTTTTTTTGAACTTTTTAGAAATAGGATCTTCTTCATCTTCATCATCAGATTCTTCTGCATTTTCCAACTAAGCGACATAAATATATTATTAGTATAAAACATTAAGTTATTGATATACATTTATATAAATGAATATATTTTTTTGGAAGGTGTTGACCCCTTTTTTCCACCTTTATCTTTTTTCTTTGGACTTTTTAATGGTATATCAATATCATCATATTGTGTAGCAGGAATAAATTGTTCTTTTATTTTTATTTCAGCAATACGCCTTGATCTACGTACATTGTCATCACCAGCTGGCTCAGGGAACACTGTCACTTCTTCTGATATAGTGACAACTATTAACATATAAACTTATATTTTAATACAATCCCAAAATTGGATGTTTATTAAAAATAATTATAGATTATTTTAATGTAAAACAAAAAAAAATTAAAATATACCTTTCTTTTGACGAGGTTTGTATGGTCGTTTAACTTTTTCTTCTGTAATGCTTTTATTTTCTTGATTGACTGTGGTAATTTTTTTAGCTCTTCCTCTTTTTCCTAGTATAAAAAAATTACGATCATGGTTTTAAATAAAAATTAAAATAACCAAATATAATTGTAAAATATGAGATTATTTATCTTAAAAATATTTACCCTTTTTCCGTCCAGGTCTACCTTTCTTTTTTGGTGTTTCTTCGGCAACTTCTTCTTCATCACTTTTATTATCTTCTTCTAAAGTTTGATCTACAACTACGCTATCATCAAACTCTTCTTTCACTAAAAAATTTAATATAAAATATAAATTGTATTTATGTAAATAATATTTAATAGTTGTATAATAGACAACCAGTCAAAAAAAAAAATAAAAAAAAAATACTTGAGATTCGACTATAACTTATACATGATAGTGATTAATTAATTCTTAATATTATAATTTTGAAAGATAAATTAATATATCCTAAAATTGATTTAGAGCAGAAATTTAATAGTTTTCGACAATATATCTTTACACTTTGGAAATTACTAAAAAACAAGGTATCAAACAACTAGTTACATTTGGTTTACAACTAATAATAATAGCTTCCCTTGGAACGTTTTATTGTTTAAAGAAATGTCTATAGAAAAATAAAAATAATAATAATATTGTAACATTAATAATATATTTAGTTTATTCAGAACCTAAAAATTGTAATAATAAAAACAGCTATATCAGTACTTACAACTTTTATTAAATACTTCTTCCTTAGTTTCATCAGCATTTTCATATGTACCCTCATGAACAGAAGAAGTAGCAATTTTCTCATCAGAAGATTTTAATATATCTTCCTCGTCATCTTAAATAATTTCAAATAAGCATTATTTCATCATAAATTATTATTAGATTGTGATAAATTAATTTAATTTTATATTAAACATACCTTTGGATTTCATTTCTATTTTAAGATTTTGATTTATTATTTCTTTATCAAAATAAGTTTCTTTTTCTATATTTTCTGGACTCTTATTAATTTTAATTGATTCATTGACATTTTTATCTAATAAAAGACATTTGAGTAAAAATATAGTAAAGCAACAAATATAAAATGATAAATTTAAAACTCCGATTTAAATTTTACCAACATAAATACAGATGAGTTTTATTAGAAAAATATAAATCACTAAATATTTATATACATATAATTCTCATAAAAATAGAAACTTGCAAATTTTAATATGTATATAATTTTTATCTTACCACCATGTAAAATTTCAACAGCATCTTCATTAATCTCCATAAAGGGTTCCATTTTTAATGTACTATCTAGTTCAGATGAATCATGCCCAAAATTGTCTTTCTTACATGGAGCACTTTGCGATTCTTCCAAATTTAATTTTTCTTCATTATGAACATTAGTATCAGTATCATCTACAATTTTAAATAATTTGTGCTTCTCTTTTAAAACTTTGTTTTGTATAGTTTCAACAAAATTTACATTTAAAACACCCTGTTTTATTTCATCTTTTTTACATTGCTCTGTAGAAATTGTCGATAGCTCATAACCCCTATCACTTTTTGTTACTTTATTAAATGTATCAATGACATCTTTTTGATTTTCTGGTATACTTGAAATTATAGGTGAAATATCTTTTTCATTTTCTATTACTTTATCTTCTTTTAAAACAGTTAGATCTTTTGAAATATCCTTACTCTTTAAATTTAATTCTTCTTTTATTTCAACCTCAGATTTCACCGTTTCAATTTTGTCTATTTCTAAATCAACATTAGAAGAGTTGGGACATTCCGATATTTCTTTAACATCATCTAATTTTTGCAATATATTATTTAAACTATGTTTACTATTAAAAACTTTTGGACAATCTACATTTACAACAGATGATCTTTTTTCTTGAAAAACATTTTCTTCTTCTATAAATTGTTCTGGTTGTTTAATTTCGGTATCAATAGAATTAATCGATTGTTCAATTTCTTTAACACTATCATTAACAACAATCATATCAGTGTCAATAATATTGCTAATGTTATGTGATGTTTTCTTAGACTTATTAATAATTTGATTACCATCAACTTGTTTAGAGATTTGAGGACATTGATCGACATTGTCTATTAAAGTTTGATCATGTGTTTTACTACTACTAGCAATTGCACTTATTATTGAGTTATCATCTTTAGTAGGTGGATTAAGGTCATTATTAGAATAAGTAGTACTAGTTTCTAGATCATTAATAGTTTGAATATGTTCAGATACTTGTTTATCTGGTTCATTTTTTTCAACTAAATCATCTACTGGTTTATCATCAATGATGGATTTATTTTCTAATATTTGATTATCTGATATAATACTTTGATCAGTTAAATTTGATAATGATGTATCTAATGTGCATACATTTTTCTCAACTACATAAGTACTTGGTTGTTCATTATTGTCATCATGTTGGCCAACTGTGTTTGCAAATGATTCGTTTGATTTTTCATATCTATTATCTAGTGTTTTTTCTTCATCACTTTGACCGCTTTTACTCGTCATCAATTGTTCATTTAATTGTATTTTATTATCAAATGAATGTTCATTGGTTTTAATAGGTTCTCCAACTATTTTAGTTGTTGATTGTTGATCTATTTCTTCTTTATTGTTTTTTTCTAATTGTTGATCAATATTGCATTTGGTATTTTCTTCTAATTTCACATTCAAATTTTTTTGTTCTACTTTTGTATCTGTGGAAATACAAGAATTAGTAAGATCTGTAGGTTGGTCATTAGTATGATCAACTTCAATTTTTTTGCATTCAGTCTTGTGATCTATGTCATATTTTTTTGTTTTGCTACTGATTTTTGGTTGATTATCTTCATTATGTGCAATAATTTCTGTCATACTATTTATCTGAGGTTTATTATAACTGTCGAATAATGTTGAACCATAAACATTTGTTGTTGTATGTTTTATACTAGTTTCGGATTTTGTAAAAACTTCATTAGCTTTCCGTTCTGTGATCTGAACTTCTTCTTCATGGACTTTAATATTAAAAACTGATTGTTTTGAAGTATTTTTACTTGAAAATTCATCTAAATTTAAAGATTTGATGCTTTGCGGTGTAGTAGTATCAACTTCATCCAATTTTTCATTTTTATTTGTTTCTTCATTAGTTTTTTTATTTATACATAATTCTTCATCAGGTTTTGTATTTTTATTTAATTCTTCAACTGTTATTTTATTTTTTTTCCATTCTTCAATATTTTGGTTTGATTGGACAACTTTAAGATTACTGTCATCGATACAAGAATCTTCTCCATTAGAAACATTATTAAAACATGGTACAGAATCATCACCAAAAAAAAAACCAGTTTTAGGAACAGAAACAATTTCTTCTTTGACTTCTTTAGACGAACTACAAATAGCTTCTATACTCCATAACTTTGGTTTTTTTACATCTTCATTTTTTGATGTATCATTTTGAGTATTTGTTTCATCAGGATTACCAGTATCACATTCCTGTCCAGAACCTTCACCCTTCACTATCATTACAGATTCTTCAATTTCTTCTCCGACAATAGGAGTATTCATTTTATCAAATGAATCGTCATCTTCATTCAATTTTCTTTTGAAACCAATAAGTTTATTAAGAGAATTTTCTTGTGAATCAAATTCATTTTTATCTAATTTAACATTAGTTGATTCTGTAGTAATACATTCTTTTTTGTTATCTTCAATAATAGGAGATTGTTTTTCAGGATTCAGATTTGAGGAGGGTAATTCATCATCACCTTCTGAACCAGTTTCAATACTATTACTATCTTCAACATCATCGAGAGTGTTGTCTTTTGCTCCAGATAATTCATTTATAAGATTAACTAAAGTGCTTCGATCTCTAGAAATATTTACAAAATATAATTTAATTAAATACATATATAAAAAAATTAATAAAAAATTTACTTTGCTACGATTTCCCAAGTATCTTCATCAATATCTTCTTTGTAAACTCGAAGATTGCATGCTCGGTCAAATTGCACCCAATATGCTACACCTGATCTATCCCAACCAAGTGGTTGAGAATGGAGTGTAGAACTTTCTAATTTATTTATTTCTGACTTAAATTTAACATTATTGTCAAATTGTGCTTCAAAAAGAGTCTTGTTAAAAAAAAGAAAAGTTATGTTAACAGATCAGATATTAAATTAAAATATTAAATATATTACTTTTAAAATTCTTAATTTCAGTTTCACAGAAATTCCTTTGTATCCATAATTTTCTAATTCCCAAAATTCTGGTATAGAATATTCTTGACAAAATTTTAAAACTGCTCTTTCCCATTTATCTGCATGTACACTTTTTTTGACTCTGCGCAATAACTTTATATGCAAATCGACTAATACATCTGGCACTAAAAACAACATAATGTTTTATTTAATGGTTTTCTTTTAATATTTATTACTTAATTAATTGAGTACTCATAATCAATACAAATTGCAACTAAATTTAAAGAACATCATTTTTATTTGAACTAGAACTAGATTATTGACATAAAATCTTAAAATGAACATTTTTTTTTCAGCCTATAATTCTGAAGATGGTTAAAATGTTTAGCCAGTAAAAAAAAATATATTAGCGTTTAAATAAAAATTCAATTTAATCTTCTTAATACAGTTGTAATTATATTTCCATATATCAAATATCTAGTATCCAAAATAATTTATAATTAATAAATTAATTTTAGAAATAAAACTGATAACAAATTTTCTTATCATACTAATCAACTTTTAATTTTGAGTAATTTTCATGTTATGTTAAAGTATAAATATCAAAAAATTTCATTAACATTTTTTTAAACGCTGTCAATTATTATTTTAATAATTATTCATAAGAATTAATAGAACATTAGCCAATATTAATAAATTATAAGAACAAACACACAACTTATTAAAAATCAATAATACACTAGAGTTTATCAGTTTAAATTTAAATTTTTTAATTTAAATATCAATATTAATATATATCATATTAGTGTGTATAAAAAATGTATTTATATATATACCTTGTTAATAAATATTTTGGAAAAAATACAAATTTCAATATTATTAAAACAAGTATTGATTTCATTAAGAGTTAAAGATGAATTAATAAGATACTACATTTATTGTTTACGTTAACTTTGTTTAATTCAATATAAAAGTAATAGATATAATTAACATTAAAATTATCAAATATTAAATTATTTCATACATACATAATATGTATTATTGATAAGTTAATAAATAATAGGTGCGTGATTTATGTGTATGTTTGTTGGATAACATTGACATATTGTTATAAGTGTTTGAATAAATGAATAGGATCAAGCATCTGATTGAGTAGTTAAGTGTATGAATTGAAAACTAGTGTTAGGTTGTATATGTTGAGAAATGTCTGTATCTACGTGCATATTATGTATCGTAGTTTAAAACGTTAATATATATTCATCACATAATAAAGCGTTTACCTTCTGTAGTCTTTTCTAACATTTCTTGTAGCTCTTGGAACGTAGGAATAGTAATACCACAACTGTCTCCGAATCGTTCGCAGAAAGCAAATATAACCGCAAAGTTGGGATCTGATGCGCACACGTCTTGTGCCTCAGCCACTGGCGAAGCGGTCATTTTAGGATTCGGCAATCCAACGTATGACGAAGTTACATTGTTTTATACTCTGAATAAGGAATTTGAATTTTCGCGAACCAAAACCAAAACATAAATAAAAAACAAAACAAAATACCTATCACGAATACGTCCGCCACCATTTTGATATCCCACTTTTTGAACCGGAAAAAAACAGTGTTGCCATTGACACAACCATCAGAATCATACAACATACTTCTCACATTTTCATTCTAGTTGTTAAATAATCAAATAATAATAATAATAATATTATTATTTATTACTGTTTGTTGCATAATATTGATATTATGATTGATATAGCGTATTTAGTTATGCTGACACGTTCAATTTTCCACAATTAGTGTATCACTGTACCGAGTGCACTAGTGCAGTACTGCAACTTGCACATAGTGGCGTACCTGAAGCTCTGTTGAGGGAGGGGCAACTTTAAATAATTTCGAAATACAATAAAAATCGTATACTTATTACTGACATGTCAGACACCTGACACAGTAACAATCGCTGACGAAGAACGATGCAGCTCGTCCACTGTCCAGTCTCCTCATTTCTCATGATCACATCAGTCTCCTAGACACCGTAATTTGTGTGGCTACTGATTATACCCATTACATAGTTATTTATTTTTTTTTGTTTTTACAAATGAACAATTATTCGTTTTGAATTCGTCCGTACATGTTTACAGAAGTATATTTAAAGGGGTAGATTATGTGTAAATGTGTAATAGTGTATGTAAAATGTACACGTCCTTAATATTTTTTTGAGAATAGTGTTTAACATTTCAAATTAATATTTTAATGCAAAAAATACACGCGTCCATAGATATATAGAAGTTAACGTTAGGTTGTTTTGACAACGAATGTCAAGTAATAATTAGTTTATTCGTTATACTAATGTGGTATTCCGATAAAATAAACATGGGATATTCTAATCTAAATGTATACATATTACACTTACACAATACAATAGACGTTACTAACAGACACAACTGGTAAAATCTATTAAGTATTATAGTTTTAATAGCTATTAGATAAAACTGTACCTACCTAGCTGTCTAAAGACTATGAGAGAGGTCCCGGGGACCTTTAAATACTTAAGTTATTTTCAACATATTGTATAATATATTATTTATCAATAAAAACAAAAATGTCAATTATTTCTGTATGAATTTCTATTAAGTACTTTATTGTTTATTACCTATACATTACCTAATATATAAATATTTTCTTTTAATTTAAAACATTAATAAATAAATTCTTTATTAATGAACAAGTACTGTTCAGTGTTTATAGTAAAAAAATAAAGGTAATTCATAAAACAAAAACTAAAATAATGGAAAATTGTATTTTTTTGTAGCACAAATACGTTGGCATTGACAAATACGAATGAATCTATTAAATTATTGTATTGTTTTTACAAATATGTGTTAAACTGGATTAAGCATCAAAGTATTATACCGTGTTTTTTTAGTTGTTTGCTACCTATTCAATTATTTATAACAATAATTTCCAATCTCATAGCTCTGTTTTTGAATTTTGTCGAATACATATTCGACATATCATATTATTATTAAATTATTATATTATATTATATTAATAACGATATTATTATCGTTAAATTTTTCTTTGTATACAAAGATTGATGATATATCAATGCTATATCTTACATTATAATAACTTACAAAATTAATAAATATAAATTTTAATATTTTTACTTTCATTTTAAATTTATTTACCTACTATATTAAATAGGTATATTTCTTTAAAAAATATGGAAGTATGAATTTCTATATGTAGTGATAGCCCCTTGGCCCCCTGAATCTATATCTGGCGTTGCCGGTGTTGGCTTAACAATTGATTTTTTTTAATGATGATGATAGCGGTGGTGTAATACATAAATATTACTAACGGCGGTCACTAAAGACGGGTTGTAGCTAAAGTTCTAAATAAAAATAGTTGAATAATAAATTTTAAATTTAGATAAATAAATAATAGATAAAAATATTAAATCATGCATAATGTACAAAGTATAACGATTAGATAACCTTCAAAATTCAATAGATGTGTATTAAATTTTGATTGGTAATTTAATTTTTGTTGCTTTGTTACAATTCTACATAGGAATTGAAATTGCTGAAATTCTTCTTCTTTGATCTGCTTATCTGATTATCTTTAAGATAATTGGTTGGAAAAATTCTCCATTTTCTAGATAATATTACGTATACGGTTCAATGTCTAGTATAATGTAATTTTCGAACACTTTCATAGCGTCCGTATAATTAAAATAAACGTTGCAGTGTCGAACCACAAAATGTGTACCTCCCAGTAGATACAAACGAACAGATATACACAATACAATATAGTAAAGTTTGTAACGATCACGTCAAGCCACCTAAAAACGCTCGTTAAATATTATTACATTTTTAAAGATTGTTCTGATTATAAGTACCATCCGTTTTATCACTTTTATCCCTATATATTAAATATATTAGGTATAAGATACTAAAAGAACACTAAAATAGTTAAATTTAAACAAGTTAAAGCTAAGATTTTTGCATAAAATCTTCGCATAAAAACTGGATCATCCATAATTAATTATAGAGGTTAAAATTATAACAGGTCTATTAAAAGAAACAGTAATTATCTATTCAGATTATAATAGATAGCCATAATTCAATAGGTAGGTAGTATATTAATAAATAACATTATTCTAAATGTATGAAATAATAAATCATAGTAATTAGGTAATTGTAATTACATTAAAATCCGAACGACTGAACCATATTTTATAACGTACATACAATCTAAATTTAATTGCTATATATTATTTATGTTTAGAAATCGAGTGGATTTACATAAATGCTAGATATATAAGTATAAAATGAAATAATTATACAATATGAAAAAAGGGAAAAAGTTTATGTATTACAATAATAGGGATAAGATACCTATATCAAATAATTATACAAACTTTTTACAAAAATGAGAAATTAATTTGTCGTACTATTTTCTTCGGTAATGTGATTATTCTGAATTCGTTGACCAAATTTTTCGTGTACGTTATTGAATGTTATTTTTGAATCAAATTTTTTAGATTTCGATTTTTTCTTAAACTTCAACAAGTTTTTAAATTTACCATAGCTTTTGTTTATAACGCTACTACTGTCTGCTGTATCTTCCATTTGAGAAGAAGACAGCAAACTGTACTTTTTAGTTTTCTTAAATTTTTTTCTAAATTTTCTTGGTATTATCTTTATGTCTGAAATATGTAATAAAAATGTAAATGGTTTTAATAGTCGCATACAAATTATATTTGACAATTTGACTAAATAGGTATATGCATTTTTATTCTTGATGGGGATGAGATAAAAATGACTTACTAAAAATAAACGATATTTTGAATTAGGGACCTACTTAGCCTTGTTATAACTTATAATTTATAAGTCTTGCTAGTCTCACCCTATGTACCAAAAATAATGATAAAATTTACTCATTATCAGGAAAAAAGTGAAAAAAGTTAGTATAGGTATCTGGTATACTACTATACGTCTTTATAAATTATAAATAGAAACATTTTATTTTTACCACGTGCCCGTATAATATTGAACTTCAATAATACAGAGTTATGATAATATTGATTATAATATAGTTACTGATATGTATCATAATATTATGCTGTGGTATAATACATGAATACATAACCAATATATGCAAACAAACATACTTTTCTCGTTCTCTTCGCGGCAACAACATGCACAGGAAATTGCGAGAATTGAACATACCAATAAACAGATTAAACCCGTAACATAATATACTGTTGGTGAAACTTCTTTCTGTAAATACATATAAATATATTTATTTATGTATACAATTTAACTGTTATAAATGTTAAATAATTAAATCATAAAAATTTAGTTTGCACCAGTGGCGTATTTGACTTGACTTTATAGGGGGTGGGGGGGAGGGGAGATGAACTCGGTACCAAATTTATTATTTATCTCAACTTTAAGTTTTAGTTGAATTTAATAATTCAATAATATTGTACTTTTATAATTCTGTATTTGTAAATATTTCCAAAAGGGTTTCCGTCTTTTAAAATTTTTATAAATTAAATTAAATAAAAATATTTATTACAAATTCGTCACCAAAATAATCTAAAATCTAAATACAAATAGTCGTATCGTATCATCTGTATACTATGTTGGACAAAGGCGAGCAAACTAATAAAAAAATTAACTCGAAGTCATTGAGTTAACACGCACACTCAAAACTAAATTATTAAGTTAAAGAATACGAGTATTATAAATTCTAATAACCTTAAAATTTAAGGGAAAATTTCAAATTTTAAGCACGGCAAAAAATTTTGTTTTATGACCCGCGGTAAAAAAAGTTTGGTTACTACTGTCCTGTCCTTGATCCTATTATTCAAGTTTTACCTATCTTTTGTAATTTTAATTTAATACTTCTAATTCTTTTATTTTTATGTTATTACATATACCTAGTGTAATACCGGTACTTACCATATAGCAACCGCTGGAAAAAATATTTCGACACTTGACGCATTTCTCTGATCCTGCGATCGGCTGATGGAAACCCTTGGCACATTTCAAACATTGAATCGACTTATCTGGACTATAATGGTGTGGCGGACAAGCAGCGCAAAATACCTCCAGAATACCAAAACCCGGTGTACAGGAAACAAAATTTTTCAAATGCATTCGGCTATGGTCAGGTTCAAAATTTGTGTCTATCAACGAAAACTTGGACATAACTGAAATAAAAATATGGAAAATATGTGAGTGTATGTATCAAGTGAATAGACAAAATAGAAAAAAAAGTAGCTAAATGGGTACCATTAATATTAGGTGTCAAGTGGATTACTGAAATGAGTGTGTTAAATTTAAATTCAATAGTATATCATTGTACATGCGCTAAACAATTTTGAGTGGAGACAGTTTTCATTTCATGATATTAAGTTTTTTGATATAGCAATTATAAATTCGTTTATTTTACTTTTAATATTTTAGTAGGTTGGTTTAATTTTTCTAAAAATATTCCATTTATTGCATTACCTAATAATATTTAATCATATTATAAGTAATATTATACTAATTTAAACTTTATTAACTTATTAACTTTTTATTTAACACTTTACAGTAAATACCGTAAAACAGCGTGAATAGTGAATACGTTCATTTTATAATTAAATAATATCTTAAATTAATCAACATATTTTGAAAACGCTATTGCGTATAGTAAAATGCATAATGTATAAAATTGCCCATAGATAATGTTTTTAAATCATAACAAAATAATTAACATCGTTATTCATTGTTAAAATATGTAATTTCTTCCCAGACTGTACTACAACTATTTATAAAAATCAATTATGTTGTCAATTTTAAAAAAATTTTAGTTCCAATATGAGTTACTTATAAGAAATATTTTATTAAATTTTTATAACTTAACTATAAAAATTGAAGATTTCATAAATTATTTACATTAAATACTTATAGCTTGTAAATGTTCTTAAGTTTGTAAAAATTTGAATTTAAAAAGTATAAAAAAATAAAATTATGCTTATGAATTATAAAAGTCAATTCTTTCTAATACTATAAAGCTAACGATACAAAATTGAATATTCAGAAAGCAAATTTACTATGCTTTAAGTTTGTTTAACTGAGTCACTGATACAACATATACACGCGGTTGTAACATTCTCTTAATGTAATATTTGATTTTTATTCTTCATTAATATTATCCATTTTACGAGCTTTACAGAATTAACCTCCACGCCACCTATTTATAGTGTCAACATATTTTAATCACGCGATCTAGTTTAACTTAATATTTAGTAGGGACGTTCACATAAGTTTCCTTTGGCACCTTCTCTAGTTGCTCTTAAATATACCTCTGTTCGTGTATGTGTTAAAGAAAGTTAACATTTACTTGGAACCGTCAACGTTTTGTTAAGGTTTGAAGCCAAGATACTGGATATTCTCGCCAGTAATTTTTGGTAGCGCAGGGCGATTCGACCTTTCTTGCTAGTTCTAATCCGAGCTAAATAATTGGCTTTATCGTTCAACGTTACCAAATATTTTACTTCCATCGTTCTCTATTTTAAAATTACAAAACTTGTTTTACACGATACAGTATATTCAATATACATGACTACATGAGTATAATAAAGATATCGGTATTCTGGTGTTGGGAAGGGAGTGTTGTAGATGTAGTTCCTCTTTTTGTTTATTTATTACAGATAATTATATAGGTAATTAAATAGTAACTAATATTTATTTTATAATATATACATCCATTATTTATTAAAAATTAATTTTCAAAATATCAACATTAACATCGATAAAAAATATGTAGGTATAATTCTTTTTTTATCCATTAAGAATAACCGCATAGAATACTTTAGATTTAAAATGATGTATGGTGGTTTGGAATTTTTTTATTTAATCACTTTAAAAAAGAAATAATTTTTTACAACAAACATCTGTTTTCAAATACAAAACTAAACCTTGAATAATTTATTATTTTTAATAAAAAAAATACATGATTCAATGTGCAAAAGCTTTTATTAGGACATTTTAAGGACTTGTAGCAAAAAAATTTTAGCTTTCTATAACTTTACATCTAAAGGTTTTTATTTTTCATAACAATAACAAGCTTCTATGCTTTATATATTATAAATTATATTCATAAATTTATTTAAAATAAAGCGATGATTATTCTTTGTGTACATTTTCATTGCTGGAGAGTTTCATACCTTATAATCGTTGCAATGAAAGATAAAATCATATAGATAATACAAAAAATGATGATGAATTGCAAATAATATTAATATTATTTTATCTAGAAACTATACAAGTGCTGTTAAAAGATCTTTTTATTAAAACTATAAAGTACAGTATTCCCCTCTCAGTCACACACTCGAGAGAATTAATACTACCTAGAAATTTGTTTTATGGACACACCAAACGACCCTATTATAATATATTAAATAATAAATAGTACATTACTTCGTCTTCGGAACACTTTGGTTTTTCGACGATCACATTGCACGCGTACCGCGACGATCCCTCGGGACACAGTTCGGTACGCATGGAACTGGGTAACTGCTTTTGCACGAGAACAGTCACATCGTGCGTACAAGCGCCGCCACCGCTAGTTTTGTAAACCGCTGAGCCGCGAATCTCATAAATGGCTTTTTCGACGGCTTTATAAAATTACGTAAGTACAGAAACATGTAATTATAAAAGTTATTTATTAGCATTAGTGAAGAGGAATGTTTTTACAGTGTATTACTCCCTATATATTTACGAATATACGAGTTAGTTATTATTAAGATGCTATAAATTTAATCACAATTTTTTATTTTTTCACTGTTGTTAGATAAACATTTTAGAGTAAATACATATACACTATACAGGGTGTTAGAGAAATATCAAACAAGAAAGGGGTATAAATAACTGATTATGTAACTTGCCATTTTGTCAGCTATTTTTTATTACATTCTGTAAACGTTTTATATATTTATAAAACTGAAAATAGTATATATATACATCTACCTACTAAGAAATTTATTTGAAGGACTTGTTAAGAACCCTGAATATTGTAGTAACATTATTCTATAGTTCTCATCGTATTAATGTAAATTTCTGATTAATAATATTGTAAACTGATACGTGTGTGACAACAGGCGAGTATAGGACTCCCTTCTCCATACGAATGGTCTAAGGAATCTGTTGAACAAGCCTTTTTGAATGAACGACCAGCTCGTATGCGAGGACTCATATACGTACCAGTTAGTCTTAGTGTAACAACAGAACATTACAGACAATTTAAGAGTATTTCTTTTAAATAAACGTTATAACAATAATTGAATAAAGAATATTATTTTGAGCCAAAGTAATTTCGACTCGTTATTTTTATTTGTTGCGGAATCGCTAAGTGCGCATCCATAACAGACTGAAGAATTGTTTTTAGAGTATATATTATATATAAATTCAGTTAAATTGACAAACCAAGTTCATATTAATATATTAGTGTAATAATCACCGTTATGGCATCATATTCATATGTACCTACAACGTAATGCTTGTAGGAAGTGCCATTTTTAGAATTTCCGACCACATCTATTGTTGGTATGCAAGTGTAATTTTTACTGTCTCCAGGTTCCAAGCCCAATATTAATAAGATACTTGTATCTGTACCGGTGACTGTTGAATCTTATAAAACAAAACATGCAATACTGTAATACTTGTATATTAGTAGCGTGAGTAATGATTGTAAGTATAGGTGAAATAATTTTTTAACTTACACCTAAAATTTGTACCTACTGAATAATTTTACGCATATTTACTAGTTTTATGTTTGCCCTTTTTAAAGTCCCATTTGAACGCACTTATTGTTGTTCCATTGCCATTGATCAGACATTTAACTTTGGCATCGCTTCCGACCAGGCTATACTGCACTGCATAATAATCTAAAAAATAGATGTTGGATAAAAATGGATACAAGAGGAGCCCCTATTAACTTGGAAAAATAACAATATTAACTGTGGAATTGAGAAAAAAAGAATAAGAATAATCTGAGCCCAGAGATATTACAATAGCTATGGTCCTTGTATGCTTTAATAATAATTTGATAATACTGATTATAACATTAATATTAGATTGTAGATCAAAGTTTTTAAAAAGAATTTAAATTCGGCAGAAAAATGTCTGTAGATCGTATAGAAAACTAAAAAAATTTAACATTATTTAATTTTCAACTGTAAATTGATTACTTAAAAATACAATTTAAACATTTGTCTTCTGAATTCAAATATTTTATGACGGAATTAAAATCAGATAACACTAACTAACTTAAATTTCGTCAAAACAATACCTAAATAATTCGTCGTGATTTTCGTACAGTGAGTAATGAATAATTTTATATTGTTATTGAGTTATCGACACGTGCAAAACATAATCAATATTACTTATCTCTTATATTTAAAAATATGGAAGTAGTCTGGTGGATGAGATGACACCCTTCTCCGGCTCATCCTCTCAATAATAATACACCAAATAATAGATCTATTTATGATTTATGTACGTCATGTACAATACGTAAGTACCCAACCATTATAATATCCTTGAAGTTTTAAAGAAAATTATTAAGTTCGTATAAATGTATAACAATTTCATAAGTCTGCACCGTTATTAGCCCTGTCCCGGGCCTAGAGCTTTTGTTCGTCGCTATAATACGAAGTAAAAATAAATCAAATTCCGAGGCCTCGTATGAAAAAAACATTGACCCGCGCTTCACTGAACTTTTAGGCCGGGCGGGACTGTTGCGGCTTACCGTCCGAAGACTTGTTCAGTCGGTAATTGACGACGTCGTCGAAATCTACTTCTTTCCACGTGGGAGCGGCCTTCTGGTCGCCGTCGCCAACGCCACTGCGGTTTCGGCCGCCGCCGCTTTTGCCGCCGTTTCGCCCGACCATCACGTCAGCCGAAACGTTCGGGGGCGCGGAGGCGGCATTGGTCGCAGCTGCTGCAGTCGTCCCGTCGCCGTCGGCCGCGGTGGCCGGATAAACGACAAACACGGTCGGGACGGGTTTGAACGACCGACAACTCAACGCGGCTGTCGAGTCGTCGTCGTCCGCCTCGTCCAAACGTTGGCCGACCAGGTCCAAAAAGTCGGTCATGTAACACACGCAAGCCCGTCCTTGGTTGGCCGACACGCACTCGTCTTCGGTGCCGAACAGGATTCGAGCGGCGGGGGCGGGGGCGAGGGCGGCGGCCACGGTGGACTTCGCGGCGTCCGGACCACCACCGCCGTCGATGTAATCGTTGCTGGTCACGTTTTTCGGCTTGTCGTCGCGGTCGGCCGCGATGTCTTTCGGATGGTGCGTGACCCGACGGCGAGCCGCGAGCCTTTTACCGACGGCGTTTGGCCTATGGTGTTGGTTGAAAAAGCCGCCGGACAGCCCGGACCGCCAAGGCACAGCTTTCTGTGTCGAGCCCAGCGCGTGACTGACGGTCGGCCGCGGTCCGGTGGACGAGCCGGCCATTATTTCGTTCAGCCGTTGTTGGAGGTATTGCAAATCATCTGACCGGTCGTCCGCCGAGCCGCCGTGGTCGAACAACGGATCGTCTTGTCCGGCGATCTGCACCTCGGCCGCCGACACTACTTCCCGGTAAATCCACCACTCGCCCATCGTCATGACAAATATTGACAGGTTCAGCCAAAACATTTTGGATAAACTGCAGTCGAATATCATTTTATCCGACGAAAAAAAAAACATCTATTTCGTCGTATCCATAATAACCAAAACGGTTGTTATTTTTATAATAATAATATTATATAGTTGCAATAACTTACCGCTGCCACCTTGTTGTGTAGTGTTACCAAGTAGTAACGCGCCAACTGAGCAATGTCGTTTGTCGAAATCTTTGACCTGAGGGTTTTAAAGCTGAAGCGGCTGCAGCCCTTCACGAATTTTCAAAATGCCTTTTTATTGTTCTGAAAACGCGAATTCCTAATAGCGGTGTTCGACATTTTTTTCCCAGCTAGCGAGACAAGATAATTTCAGTTGCACTTTCTACTTTTCATTTTATTTGCTCAGTAGTAGGTACCATGGTGGTTGACGGCAAAACGACCTAACGTGATGTCAAATGTATTCTACTGTAAATTCTCATTACGTTTCAATGAAAATAAAAAACCATGTTAAGTTTTACTATAATTAATTAATTATAAAAATTGTAACTGCAATTATTCTAAATATAATATTATTGTTTGATAATCTCCATAATTTTTAGTTGTTCCTGTATAATTTCTACAAATTTTATTAAAAAGCCATTGAGAGATCCAACACACCTTTACCTGCGAGTATTGTAGTGCTACTGCCAATTCTATATTGGACATCGCACATCTTAAGCATGTGAAAAAAATCTTTATTTACTTACAAATAACAAATGGGGGATGCAAATTTGTAAGAAATTAAATAAGTATTTAAATAAAATTTGATGATTTTTGTTATGTTTGTTTTGTAGTAATTCAAAATATAAAAATTTAGAATCTTGAAAATATTTGGACTCATTTTAAGTTAATTACACTACATTTCTATTCATGCTGTGTTAAGATACATAGGTCTTGACTAATTTGATATTAATAATTTAATATAATATTTTACAAGTGATTACTTCAGCAAACATTAGTTGATTATACCATATTATTAATAATAGAATAAATTATAAAACATCTTTAGAAATAAAGGCTGACATACTGTTTCAGATCAGAAATAATTTTTACATACATTAATTTACTGATCATCAAAATCAAATGTATACATGCGTTTGAAGTAATCTACTCAATGAAAAGATAAACTAAAACCGTTAGTATTTAAAAAAAAAGGTTGAAAACCATAAGTCTAACTTTTTAGCCACTTTATAATACCTAATGTTAAAGTGATACTATATGAATATTATTTTTCAATTTTAAATAATAAATAAAAATACATTGAATAGTAAAAATGTTTTAATGATTTTACACTAAAAGCAAAAATAAAAAGAGGACAGCAACAATTTACAAATGTTATAAAAGCATAATGGCTGTAATGAATAATAAAATAAACACATTTAATATTATTGTGTTTATCTTTAGTATATTAATACTCAGAGACAAAAATGCTTAATAACTGTAATGATAACACTTCAAATTTATATTTCAAAATATACTTGGAACATTACACCTGCTAGAAAATAAAAAATAAATAAATATAGTGGAAATACTTATATGTAAATCAATATGATTCAAGTTATGCTAATAAAAAAGACTTGTAACAAAATTAAGCATACAAAAAAATTAAAAATTAAAATTCTTATCATAAATGGAAAAAAAATTAATAGTGAGACAATAAGTTATAAATTTATAGAAATTACATATTAAGATAAGTAATTGTGTTATATTATTACACATAAAAAGGCTTAAAATTTATAAGTTTGAGTCAATATAAATTATTTTTATTTAAGTGGCCAAAACGTAGTTTTAAAAATTTAAAAATATTTTATCATATTACGGCCAAATAATTATTTTTAAAAGTACTTGCTCTTTTAAATAAAAAATTCAACTATAACCAATATTTTTTTAAATAACAAATTCAACAAATATCAAGGAAACTACGTTTTTACCAGTTAACTAAACAAATATACATAACTAATACATATCCGAGAGAGGAGAATGTTTAACTAAGCCTAGTTATAGGATTACTATTGTAATGATTTTGCTGAATAGAAAATCCATTCACAGGTCCTTGTTGTGCTGGTTCTGTTTGAATATTAAGGTTTACCAAGGAACTGATGGCATTTAACGCAGCCTAAAATAATATGAAATAAGATCATGAATTTACATGGTAGTAATTTTTTTGTGTGAATTAGATTAATGGTTAGTAAAATATTTGTTAATAATTAATAAGAATATTTTTTTAATAAGTTAGTATTTTATCTCTTGATAAATGTATGTAATAGTTATTGATTAATACTAGATTTACTCACAGCATTACGAGAATTTTCCAAAGTAGAACCAGAGCCTTGGCAGATCTGTGGAGGCATGGTTGATAGGGATACTAATGTCAAATAATCCTTGTGGTTTCCCTAAAATTATATTAGTATTGTAAAAATAAAATAAAAATGTCAACCATTTTAATAAGCAACAAAAAAATTGATTCAATATCACATATGCAACTATCAGAAATAATTTATAAATTAAAATTAAATTATATCCAATAGCATTAACGTACAGTAAAATAGATAATTTATTATTATCTAGGTAGTCTACACCAGAGATGAACAATTCAAAATTATTAGAGATCCAATTTAAAAAAAATTTAAATCTTGTGGGCCAAAACATAGAAAGTGAAAAAAAAAGGTTACTTTATACATGCATTTAAATTAGCATTTATTTAATTTATAATGTGAATTTTAACTTTGAAATTGTATGATGTAATTTGAAAATGTAACACAGGCAAGAAAAAAAAAGTCGCAGGCCACCAGTTTCTAGCCCTAGTCTACACAATGTTATTAAATATACTAGATTATAGCATAATATAGGTATATATCATAACTGTTAACCAAACTTGATTATTTTAGACTAAAATGAATTTTAAATAAACAATAATATTAATTATACACCAGGTTTTAATTATTTAACAATTAGAAATACTAACATTTTAATTTTTTTATCTTAGTTATAGTTGTTAAATTATAATTTAACATATGCAACATAGCAAAACTATTTTCACAGTATGTAATTTGTATTTTTTATGTTATCATGTATACTTAGATTATTCAAACTTTAGTATTTTGTGGTAACAAAAAATTTAAAAAATATTTAAATTAAAATTTGATAAAAATTATTTTTGTAGTAAAATTTTGTTTTTGTTATTTAGATATTTATTTAAATGAAGAAAAATAATTTCAGTTATTTTGTTGTAGTTTAAAAATAATTTTAAAGGATACTTCAAATTTTTAATATATTATTTTAAAATATTTTATACACACAAAGAAATTTTCAAATGCAATATTTTTGGTAAAAATTAATTAAATCTACTATATGACTTATTAGGAAAACACATTAATTTATAGCAATATAAATACATATATATTATATACTTAGTAATGTAGGCTAATAACTACCTTATCTCAGATAAATTATTTATATGCAATGATTTATCAATGAATTTAACACTTATATTACAGTGAATTAGTCCTCAATAATAAGGTATACTCTATGTTTACAGTAGTGAGATTAACTACTTTCCTCTATTTTTATTTTTTTATTATTTAATTATAAAATAGTAAACATGAAATAATGTATTAAGTAGCATATCCATTCATCTAAATTAAGTCCAAATGTAACATAAAAAAATTCTAGTATGATTATAATTGCTTTTAAGGTAATATACTGTATTACAAGAGATTATCCTTCACTTAAGTATGTAAAACAATAAGCATCAATTATTTTATTTGTGTATATTGATTTTCAATATTAAGTTGGTCAACATAAAATTTTAGGTTAAAGTTATAAAACCTGCAAAACATGTTATTATATTAACAAATAAAGAAAAAGCTAAAAATAATCTTCTTTTACGTAATATATCACTATTAGCTAATTTAATAGAATGAAACTCTAAAGTATAATCATTAGGGCTCAGAAATTAATGAATTTTGAAACTTATTAAATGATACAGGCCAGGTTAGGTTAGGCCACAAATGAATTCCATAAAAATGTGAATCTAATTAACTAATTTTTATTTTGCATTTTTTGTTATTTTTAGGTTCTATTTTTTTTTTTTTTTTTTAGTTAAATTTCTTGTATTTATAATTACATTTTGTTTATAAACATCTTTACATGCATAGTTTTTGTTTTACACTAATTGTATATAACTACCTACATCAGATTTATTTATATAAAATAATATTTTACACAAGTTATATATGAATTAAGTAAAGATGAAGATTTGATAGAATAAGGCAATTGCTAGCTGTCATTTTTACTTTTGACAATATAAAATATTCTTTAATAGAACAATGTAATAATTTTGAGAAATTGTAATTATTATTACTATTCCTATGTTTAAAAAAAAAAAAAATGTATTTTTAATAATTTTAATCAAGTATTTATAATTTTTTGGGAATTTTTGTCATTTTTAAGTCATATTTGCATAATTTTTTTAGGTCATGTTTTTATGGTTATCAACTTCTGAGCCCTAATAATCATAAACATTTATAGCTTTATACTACACTCTTAAGATTAAAATCGATGTATACTTGAATTAAAAGCCAACCTTTGGAAACTCAGAATACTGCACTTTAAAACCCAACATTTGTGAAAAATAGTCCAATTGTTGAGTTGGTTGAAAATTTATGACTGAAAAATCATTGGCCATGTTACTAGCAACTGACACCAAAGGAACTCCATCGTTTCCTTGACTAGGTTTATTTGTTATTGATGTGTCAGGTGATACAAGTAAAACACCAGGAGCAATTTGTCGACCATTTTTTCGTGGGCTGTCTATATTTGCTTTGTTTTCATTACTTGCCTAAAATTAAATTAATAAGTAATAACTTAATACTTATGTTATATAATATAAGTGAACATAGAAATAGAATTTACCAAAGGTAAATCATTATTTTTAATAGAACGTCTTTTAAGTTCACTCTCATAACCCATTTCCACTAATAGGTTTTCAGCTGCATTACGTTTAGCATCCTTCTTATTAGGTCCTTTACCTAATGCGGAATTCTGTCCAATTGAAACCTAAAATCATCAATAAGTTATCAATTATGCTTTAACAGTCTTTTTCTTTTTTTTTTTTTTTAAATATAGACTAACTTCAAAAATAAATTCTTTTTTACGATTTGTGTGTATGATATCTTCTTTAAGAACATATAATGGTTCTTTTTCTTTTTTAGTAGCTTGTATTTTAAAAAGTTTTGCAACTGGATCAGTATCCTCCGTTTTATAATTCATCATGGGTTCAATATTTTCAGAATTTGGTTTTGTTTCTTTGATTAGATTTTTATTTTTTTTTCTGGGCACTTTATAACGATTCTTTGTTGGTAATGGAAGTGTTGGAGAAGTATTATCATCTACTAAAAGAGATTCATTTGCTTCTTTCAAAGTTTGAAGCATTTTTTCTGCTGCACGGCGTTTTGAAATCTATGTAATATAATACAATATATAATTATAATTTCACTAAATATATTTGAATAATAAATTATATTATTGAACAGTAATATTTATTGTATATTTAAATTTCATATTTATATTGCTTTTATTAATAATAAGTTTAATTAAAATAACACTTAATAATAAGTACAAAGTATTGATTGTTCTAGATAAAATTAATGTAAAAACAAAAATATTACTTTTTTTCCATTCCCTTCACCAGTAGCATTGTAAGTTCCAACTGTACATTTAGTGATATAGGTTTTCATATGTGGTAGTCCATCTTCTTTCAAAACTTCAAATTTGATAGGTAGCTTCATTTTTAAAGCTACTTCATAAACTTGTGAAATTACTGACTTTGAATCACCAGCTATAAAAGTTATGATCAAAATAATATTTAATAAATTTGAAAGTGTTGATTACTTTTAAAACATACACTTTAAAACTTCTTTGATGTTTTCATTTTTTTCTTCATTTTTAATTTGTGTTAAAGCTTTCAACGCAGCATCATGTCTTGCTGCTTGATTAGTATTACCGTGTCCAATAAACTCATGTTTACCAATTTGAAGTTTAACCTTATAAACGCCTACAGGTTTTACTTCAGGCTTAATATAATTATTTGGTGGAGGAACCTATAATAACATGATGAAAATAAAAAAAAAGAATTAAAGGATTTATACAAAAAATTGTTAATTTTTTTTAATAACAAAACTAACCTGAGAAACATTGAAACGTGCATTATAGAAATTTGGTACATATGGTATACATCGAGGTCCGCCTCTGGTACTGTAAAAAATCAGATCCATTTTAATTCATTAAACATGCATTTACTTAATATAAAAATATTGTGTCCAATCAAAATTTATTTTTACACTAAATTATTGAAGTTATTATAAGGTCCTGTTGTTCTTGCATGTGAATACATCTCTGGTCTGAAACCATTAAATTGGTTAGGAGGTTGTGGTGTTGGTAAATATTGAGGTGTTTCTATAACAGTATAAACTGTTTGTTCTCCACGTTTCATCGCCAATGCATTGAGCTCCACAGTCGGAGTAATATTATCTATAAATAAAAAATGTACAAGTTAATTTTGGTTATTTTATGAGCACTGTTTTTGGCAGTATAATTTGTATTACTATAATGACCAGAAGCTTTTAATTTCATTTTAGTTTGTGGTTGATTATAACTCGTTTTTGATAAAGCAAGAGCAGCTGCAGCATGTTGAGCTTTTTTAATACTCATTGCATCTGCATTGTACTCTTCATTTCCTAATTGTAAAGTAACAGTAAATTTTTTTTTATGTGGTGGCCCTTGTTCATTTGTTAGCTTGTATTGATGTTTGATCTATTTAGAATTTAAATAAATATATTAGTATTTTATACTATTTCTCAAAAAAATATTGATGGATTTATAATAAAAATGAATACCTTATTAAATCTTGCTAACTCATTAACAAGACACATAGGGGTTTTATCTTTATCAATGGATGTATTGTTTTCTGCTGAATAATCATTTTGTAACAAAGAATTCAATTGTGAATATGAATTTCTATCTGAATTTAGTACTAGTGCACCAGCCATCAGATAGCCTGTAATATTATAATATGATTATAAAACATATATCATTTAGACAAATAAATTCATACATAAATATCAGATTAAATTAAACACAAACATGAATGCATAAAATATTTACTTATTTTTTTATATCATTAAAAAAATATTTCATAATCAAAAATATTAATACAATCATTTTTACAAACATTCAATAATAAATATACTTATCCAAAATGTTCTTGAGTACAATTTAAACATATACTATCATTGAAAAACAATTAATATCTAATTTTACATTTTCCACATCAATTTATATTTATTTATTAATTAGCTTGTTAACATGTATACTAAAAATAAGGTTGTTAATAAATAATAGATATATATTCTACTTTTATCTTAAAATCCCAAAATCTAATATTAAGGTACATAAAACTTTGATAAATTAATATATAAAATGTGTTTTTACAATGTCAATTTATTAGAATTCTATCATATTTAACAATGAATTTAGCTAAACCTAAAAAATTGATAAAACAGAGTGTTTTAACAACACTAAAAACACTACTCTGTGATTTAAAGAGTCGAGAATAGCTTTGAATTAAAAAATTAGTCACTGTATAGATCATTGCATTTAAAAACAATACTGAGCAAAGACTGTTTCTTGGCCTATACTATTAGGTAAATATAATTATATATTTATATTGCTACTAAAATAACGTATTTTACTATTAAGTAATACAATTAGTTAAATTAATTTTTTGGTTATAGTATAAACTACTTATAAAGAATGTTGTATTATAAATTTTAGCTATGAAAATTTAATATTTTATGAATTTTTTACTAAATATAATCAACAAATTTTTGTGATTTAATAATTTTATTGTCAAAATTTGAAATTAAAATGTGTATGATATATATATATATATATATATATTACCAAAATATTTGATTAATTGTAAACTATTAACTTTATATACTTATACCAAATTAAACATAACTTTAAATAGAAAATAAATTAGTATAATAAGTAATAGTGATATATCTATATGATAATAGTCTCTGTTCAGAATAATTTTTTGTAATCAATAGTTTATTATTTTAAATAAAAATAAATTTACAACCATCACAGTGATCTACTTAATTACTAAGTACACTCGAGATTCCTATTATACAACACAATACATACCAACCTCTCTCTTTTTTCTTTTACTTTAAAAGATACTGTCAAATTTTTATTTCTTTAAATATTTTCAAAGTATCAACTAAGTCCAATTTTCTATTAGAACCACCATTAATGTCATTTTAATTTCTACAAAAAGTGATAACAAAGAAAAAACACATTGTAAAATAAATATACTAATTGTTTTCAATCCAAATCTTAAAGCTTTATATCATATAAACTAAGTAAATTGTACAAAAATAACATTGTATCAACAATAAATAATTAAATGTTAGTGATGTTAAATCAATCAATACAATTCAAGCAGTAAAGCAACAAGTATTTACACAATTGTTATTCATATTTTCAGTATTAATCTTCTCCAATTACAATATAGATAACATTTTTTTCTATATTTCTACAACAGTGCATTTTTCATTTTATTTATATAAGATTAAAATTACTAATTATCAAATTAAAAAAATGGAACTTTATTTTAAATAAATGGCATCATGATAAATATAATAATCTTCAATAAGTTTTTTTTTTTTTTTAAATATACTAATTTAAAAGCAAAGTTCTTTTAATCATAGATAGACATTTTTTAATAATAATTTAGTATAGCTCAATAAGTTCTTTTTTTTTATGTCATAATTAGTAATTTTATTATTATTCATATTTTAGCTTTAATAAAAATACTGAACAAAATATTAAAGGAAAAACAATACATCAATATGGTACAACATCTTTATAAATACAATTTTGTTAATTAAATTAAATGTTAACCCAAAAGCAGAACACTCGTTTTAACTTATTTCTTATACAACTACCCACATTTGAATTTTATTACAAAATATATTGAATGTACAAAAATAAAACCATAATATACTATGTACCTACCTACTATCAAATATTCACTCAATATGTTTTGAACAGATTCATTTTTTTTTTTATATATATATAAAGGATAAAACTAGATTAAAAACCATCCTTACTAACTGGATTAACGATTCAATCTGTTCAGACCATCCACAAAAAAATATAACTTAATAGTTCCAATATACAAACAAAGTTATAATTCTCAAAACCTAATCATAACAGTAATACAATATAATTAGAAATAATACATAGGTACAAATTCAATAGTATTAGACTAGGATAGAATATAATTGTTTTTTTAAATTAGGATATGAAGAATTCAACAAGTTAGTCTCTAAAATAAGATAGAAAAATACTGCGAATTAATCAAAGGATAATATCAAAATTAAATACCAAACCATAGGATAAGTAAATTAAGTACCATTTTAAAGTTATCAATTAAAAAAACAAAAAAAAAGATAACAGAAAAATTAAAATTAATCAATATTGGTATTAATTAATATGTTTCTAATCTTACCAAATAATTAATTTGAATACATAAACAATTTATAGGAATAGTGTTTAAGTATCTATTTGATTAAAAAGAAAATACTAACTACATTACAATACACAAATCACTGAAATAACAACTTACAATTAGTTACATTTACACCCAATAAAGTAATTCTTTCAAAAAATAAATAAATTAAAACAATTGATAAATTAACATTGCGTTAAAACATTAAAAATATTTAAACTTTAATTTATACATTTACATTAATTACTGTATAGATATTTTAAATTAAATTAAATTACCTAGGAATTTTTTATAAATAATGACTAGGGTTTGGAAGTTACAGGAGTTGCATATTGTTTAGTATCCTCTCGATTTATAGCAGACCAAGCAAAAAATCCGAGCTATACACAATGTTAAGTTTAAAGATTGAAAATTAAAAATGCATACTTAGCATATTTTGTCAATTTAAAAGAAAAAGTGCATGTTTTTTTTATCATAATATGCATATCATACATATATAATTTCTAAGAAAAATTCTTAAAATCTTATTTTATTTTTCAATAATAGTCTTTTTTCATAATTTTTTTTTTTGTATATTAAAGAAATAATAATAAATATGTAATAACAATAAGTAATAATGACATTTATATACTCGTTTATATATATATATATTATTTTTTTAATAATTTTTTCATGTATATTTTGTCTTTTTAGCTCTTAAAATTTTCAAACCCTAATAATAACTGTTTAAAATAAACTTATAGTAAATTAAATATTATTTTATTAATTAATATCTAATTTTAAATTGTTAAATGGTTCTTTTAAACTTAAAACATAATTGGATTTTGATACAATTGGCTTCAATTATATACTTATGTGTGTTTTCAATAAATAAAGCCTAAGCCTTTTGGCATAATAATTTTTCAGTTATAGAATTAATACAAATAAAATCATACACCTAAATATTGGAATTATGTGAATGGTAAAGTTTAGGAATAGGTTAGGTAAATTGATCAAATCATGAAAAATCAAAATAGGTAGACACCTAACCCAACCTATTAAAATACATTTTGTAAAACTTGTGTTCAAAATTTAAGATAGAAATTAAATGAAGAACAATAAAGAATAAAAAAATATAGAATTAATATCTGTAATATATTTTTAAACCACAAAATACATCACATTTTTTTTGATATTGAACCATTCACTATTTTCAAAATATTTATTGATTTTTTTAACAAAAATTTATATAAATTTTTGATTTTTCACTGGAGGTAGGTATAAATTGAAAATTATTAAAATGTAAATGAGAATAAAACTTTAAAATTAAAAAATTAAAAACGTTACTATGTCATAAATACTGTAAAACATTACCTAAAGAATGGTTCATTAAAAAAAAAAAAATGAATAAAATATGTAAGCAAAATTGAACGGCCGTTCAATTGAAAACGATTACCCACAATTTAAAATGCTGTTTAGCTCAGCAGACACATACAGAAGAACCAAGTACGGTCATAAAAAATTACCTTCAACGCAGAATGATAAACCAAAAATATCTGTAAGTTCTTCTAAATCAATTAAGTCTTTATACATCAAACCGCTAGAGCTAGCAGCAAGTAGGACATGAATAATCACTACTAACCGTTTCATTGTCTTGTCACTAGCACGGCGATATGTAATCTGTTCAGCCTATACAGAGAAAAACGCATAATACTTGTCGTTACAATCAGTGGCGTACACAGAAATTTCAAATAAATTGGAAATATATATATATATATATATACATAGATGTTCTAAAAAAAATTTTCGATTTTATTGAACAGCCAAGGTTTTGAACACCCAAACCCTTAATGAGTGTACGCCACTGGTTACAGTAATTGTGGGCGACCTTAAAAACAAAAGGAAAATCTTCATCTTATCCGATATCAGCACTCCATACGTTCGGACCTGTTACGCGCGGTAAGTAGCACACGGCGGGACAATGCCCTAGTTTCGTGTCCGTCGCAAAAACGGCCGGCGCGTGTCCTGCAACGAGCTATGTGAATTGGCGCGGTGCGCCCATAAACGGTTTTCACACTTACCTACCACGATGTCGGCGGCAAACGGATTGGTATAGTTAGCGAAGGATCGTGGCCTGCGCTTAAGCAGATGGTCTAGGTCCGGACAAAAAAATTGAACTGAACAACGATAAATTCGCGGTTGAAAACAAGCAACGGTAGACAACAGCAACTGTAGGCGTCTTACGTACGTTAAGTAGCGAACAGTGACTGACTGGTAAGTACCGAGTACTCGATTCTGCAGCGGAACCGTGTAGGTGTTCGTTAACGATTGATAAGAAAGAAAAAAACAAACCGGATTGGTGACCACGACCCCGGTATCCGCTGGTTACAACAGACATTTCAATATTTATCAGTTAACACCATGTACCTATCACCGTCGGCTAAATTTCAAAATAAACAATATTACTTTTAGGCTATAGCAGTACAAACTACAAGTAGTACAAGTATAAGTGCATAACAATATTGAATACATTCATTTTACATTAATTTGATTCGTGTATTAGTTGTATTAACTTCCAACGATACATCTTGCTAGATTCTTACAGTTGTTTTGTGACAGTGAATCAAATTTACTATTGAACTACGTTCGTTTTTCATCTAGGCACAAATCGCATTCGAATATCGTCGAAATGTTACCTTAGCAACTGTAACTGTTATGTTCTGTTTGCTTAAATATTGATCCAACTATTTTTTTTTCTTTTATTTCTCAAGTGATAATATCGTGTTCTGTCTAGTGTATCCGGTAATATGTTTAAAAATACATTTCAAAGTGGTTTTCTGTCTATACTCTACAGCATTGGCAGCAAACCATTGCAGCTCTGGGATAAAACTGTTAGAAATGGGCACATTAAACGCATAACAGACAATGATATCCAATCTTTAGTGTTGGACATTGTAGGCACAAATATCAGTACAACATACATTACATGTCCAGCTGAAAAAACCAAAACTCTGGGTATAAAATTACCATATCTAATTATGATTGTCAAGAACATGAAGAAATATTTCACTTTTGAAGTACAGGTAGGGTAAAATATTAAAATTCCAATTTTTTTATATTTATACTTATCATATTTTATTATTATAGATTCTTGATGATAAAAACATTAGGCGTAGATTTCGAGCCAGTAATTATCAATCAACAACTAGAGTTAAACCATTCATTTGTACAATGCCTATGCGTCTGGATGAAGGATGGAACCAAATACAATTTAATCTAGCAGATTTCACTAGACGTGCTTATGGTACAGGATACGTTGAAACATTGAGGGTACAGTTACATGCCAATTGCAGAGTTAGAAGAGTTTATTTCAGTGATAGATTGTACTCTGAAGATGAATTGCCTGCAGAGTTTAAATTATTTTTACCTGTTCAAAGTAAAGTAAGTTATTAACTTCTACATTTATAATAAATAAAAACTAAATTAGAATATAAAGCTTTGAAATTAAATGATAATAATTAAAGAAACTTCTTTTGATAACTAAAATATTTTTAATTCCTAATTATTAATATTCACTTAATTATTTAGATATTTCTTCCAAACTAAGTTTTTAACATCTAGTAATAATTTCACCTTTATATGAAACTAAAATACAATATATTAAAATTAATATAGTGTATTTTAGTTCTGAATAATTAAGAAAAAAAATGCAACCATTTGTTATGAACAGTGATAAATACTAACAAAAAATAATTTGAATTGCTCAGTTGATTAGTATATATATGTAATCCATCAGATATCTTTCCACTCGGACTATTATTTAAAATATTACCAAAAAAAAATATTTAATTTATTTTAGCTACTCTTAAACTCCGTGTTACATAATATTATTACCTTTGAAAAATAATTTATAAGAAATAGTAGTCGCATTAACATATTAATACATTTTCCACCTTTTCATAAATAGTAAGTCTATGAAAAATTAAAATAGCACAGATTTGTGTATTATATCAAATATTTTGTCTTCAAAGTGGAACTATTAATCTTTAAAATAACTGATCCCAATTAAAGTTATAATACATTTATGTAGGTAATTAAACTTCAATAATATTAAAAGAAAAAATTTATACATAAGTAATCTTCTCCCATTGGTATTGCAGATAAATCCTAAATCAAAAGTAGTTCTAAATAAAGTTATGTACAAAAATTTTAACACATTTAAAAGAGTAAAATTACAATTAGTCATTATTACCAGCCAACATTGTTATAAACTTAAAAAACTATGAATAGTATAATTAAATTTCAGTCTATATTTAAGAAAAGATATTTATTATTAAACTTCATAACCTATAAACTACAAAACATTTTTAAATGCCATTATATTGGTTAAGAACAATGTACATGGAACAAAACAATACGCAAAGTAAATTAAATGCACTAAAATAATGTAAATATATTTATTGAAAAAAAAACTTTGAAAAATAATAATGTTTTACTTATTTACTTTAACTTTTTAATAATCTGTTTACTTTTTGATTTCCAAAAATACAATTTAACTACACAAAATTAATTTTAATATTAATCAACATAATTATCTTATTGATACCTTAAAATAAGTAAACAAACATAAATTAATTATTTAATGTTCAGATATTTCAGTAACTTCTTCCTCAGGTTTATTTTCCATGTTTTCATCTTCTTTTACTTGATCATTTTCCTCCGGTTTTTTAACTTTAGGTGAAGAACTTTCTTCAACATCACCTTGTAAACAATAAATTAATATTTCATAAACAATATATAATCTAATTTACTAAATGCAATATTTGATATTTATTAATTCAACATATATTCATTAAGTTAAATTGAAAAAAAATATTCTAATCTCCTAAATTTACATTATTTATTTATTGAACGTTAAAATATAATATTAGTACTTCCTATAAAAATTAAATTTTTTGATAATTATACTAAAACTAAATTTTTTAAATAAAATGTTGTATCATTTTTACCTTCTACTGTTCTTTTTGCAGGTCGAGTACAGACAGAGAGTAGATTGAACTTGCAAAAGCGACCATAATCTCTAACTACTGACAAACAGCAGACAGATTTCACCACCTCAACAATAATAGTTAATTTAGCCCCACCAGATAAATCCACAGTATGCTGTCCAAAACTAACCACTTGGTTGGCCAATTCTTTGATTATCTCATCACGCGGCACTGAATTGTTATATCTATGGCTATATTATATGCCATTCAATTTAATATAAATTAATAATAATTTAAGGTTTTTGTGTGAAAATTTGATTCAAATATAAATAGTTTTTTTTACTTGAACAAAATTGCAAATGTTGTTGGTTCTGTAGAAAAATACTTAGGTAATAGATTTGCACAGGCTGACTTTATGGATATCAAATTGGCCTATGAACAAAAATGAAAAAAACAATAATGTTACAGTTTACGATAACAAAAAAAACAAGCGCAAAGTTTTTTATTACCTTGCAAGTAACTAAAATGGGAAGCATGCGTAAAAGAAATTTTGTCTTCTGCACTTTGGTTTTTTCTATGTCTTCAAGTATTTTATACACAAGGTCACACGGATCTTCAACCTAAAAATAAATTCTCAATTAATTATAAAAGATTTTTAAAATTTTTATTTAGTTTAGCATAATAATATAAATAACTCACAGTGGTACTGATGAAAAGACATTGTCCAACACCAGTAGCTGATGGAGTAAATTTTTTCCAATTAGCATTGTCTTTTTCAGACAAACTTTTCAATTCATCGGCTAATGAGTTCATAATTTCTGTGGATTCTTCTACAGTATTAGAGAGATCTTCAGATGGTATCTAAATCAAAGTCAATTTAAGTGATTTCAATATAAAATATTGTGCAATCAAAAAAAATTAAATATGTTTTTAACAAAATGTACTGATTGACAATTTCAAGAAGACTTTATTCCTATAAGAATTATAAAGTATTCTATTTATTTATAACTTCATTAATATACATTTCAAAGAGTTTTTTTAGAAAAAATGTATAAAAATAATATTCTTTGAGACGAAAATGTTAGAGTATATAAATGAGCCTTGTATATTTTAATGCAAAGAAAACAAAATAAATAGAAAATTAAGTATTGGACAAGCCATAAATTTAAAAAAATATTTTTACTTTGAAGTAATAATTAAAACTATTATAATAGTATAAGAGAAAAGTTCTTCTTAATATTGATAATTATTTTTTATCAATGAGATAAAATATTATAATTTGAATTGGCAATAAAATGTATTTCAATATAAACAAGCAGGACCAATATTTTAATTTATATTTAAGATGATGGCTATCCTACATGTGAGGCGTTCATTTAAAGAAGACATAAATTAATTATCCATTTATTCATAAAAATTAAAATATCAAAAAAAATAATTATAAACATAATATGGTTAAATGTGAAAATATGTTCCATTTTTAAATTGGGAGTACTTAACTAATTAAATAATTAACAAAATATTACACAATGATTTGACAAGTGTTTATATTTTTAAAAAACATTCAATTTGTTTACATATTTTTTTAGAATTATCAATTTTTACTAAATTTAATAATCCAAAATCTAAATTTTTAATACTATTACATAAGTTTTTACAAGTAGTGTAATATAAATATTTCTCTTCACATAATTTTTCTGCCAACTCGTATTGATGGTTGTCCATTAAATTTTCATTAATTACCACTAACAAAGGTTTACCGTGGTCTAATGCTTGCATTATGGAACCAGCTCCTCCATGACTTATTATTAAATCGCTTTTAATCATATCAGGTCCAATATCTGGTTTAAATGTGTAACTTGAAATTTCTATGACATCGGAAGGTTCAAGAACAAATGTACCGTTTCCTATTTGAAGTATCATTGATGTGTAACCATTACGTTTCAAAGCTTCGAGGGTACGATGGTCAGTGACAGTATCAATTAGTTCATTAAACTTAGTAGTACCGACAGTAACAAATACTGTTTTATTTGACATCTCGTCACTTAAAAATGATAAATAGAATGTCTCGAGTTAATGAAAATAAGTTGTTTACGCAGATTTACAATAACAAATATATGAATATTTTAATTTTATATTATGAAATACATTTTATTGGAGGACTCTAGTTTAATAATAAATAATTATAAATTAATAAAAATTAAGAATATTATCAATTTACTGTTTAGTGATTTTACATTTTTTACTGTAAAATGATTATATAGTAAAATACTATCAAATAAGTGTGATAATATCACTATTGTAAATAGTGGTTCGCAAAATGTTCAAAAACTGTACTCTGTCATAATTTAATACTAGATTGAAATTGAAATTCTCTGAATTCAAAGAAAATGAAGTTTAAAATTTAGTCCAATAACAAAAATATTTTGGTATTTTGTAGATTTATTTCTTCTAAAAATAGACTGTTATTAATTTTGCGATCTTTAAATTCCCAACTATGAGATAAGTTTTGATAAAACAATTATTAATTTAGTACTGAACACGGCTTTAGATCCTATCTAAAGCCGTGGTACTGGATACAAAAATAGTAGAATGTATATAACAACATTTTAAATAGATGAATTAAATTAATACATGCTGTACTTGTATATTTACAATCTAATAATCTGATCAAATAATAAAAAATTACATATAACAGTACCTAATTCAGCGGTGTAAATAATAATAATTTTAAAATTGTATTTTTAATATTTTTAACAATAAATATTCGTCCTGGCAAAAGTAAGGTAGTTAGGTGATAAATCGTAGTTTATTTCTTCAAATTACATAATACATTCGTAGTTAACGGTAAACAGACTAACAATTCGACAGGCAACGAAAATTAGTAAGAACTTTGTTTAAATTGTTTATTGTCTTATCACGTAAGATGTAACACTGAACGGTGTGAAAAACATGCTTAAATTTACTAAAAATAAAATATACCTAGTTTCTACATAGACATAGGTTAGTTAAGTAATAAAAATAAATAATATTATAATTAGGAACCTACTTGACCACAATTAAAGCTACTAAGATAGTATATGTAATAATAAAATATATAATAAAATTAAAAATAAAAACATATTTCGAAGACCATCCTAATAATGAACTTAGTAGACAATGAATAATATTAATTAAAAACATCTTAGAAAAAACTATTTGAACTTAGGCTTACAAATACTTTATTGATAATTGAAAAACGAAAGTCCTGGTTTTACTAACGTGACCATACGTTCAGCTTTCAAATTTGTTGTCCAGCTGTTCCCGAAGAACCCAAAAATGTCCTACTGAAGTGAGAAAAGATGATCTATAGCATTTTATTCCACTAAAAAAGAGCACGTATTTAATATTTATTCATCACAACCAAAAACATTAGGTTGGTAGGTATACGAGTATTTGTACAGTACACTGATATTAATATATATTTTATACAATGAACGGTAAACCTCATATAGTTACAACTTACGTCTTACTGAATTTTAGATACCAATAGTTGTATAGTACTAATACACATGTGCTTCATAACTAATTTTTTTTTTTTTTTTTTTTAACATATAATATAATATACATTAATAATAACAGATAAATGAATATAAATATAATTCTACGATTATAAATTTGAAAATTAAACATTTCCAAAAATGAACAATTAAGTTATTTTTTTAGATATCTATTACCTAAAAAATATTCATAATTGAATAAATATTATAAGAGAAAACGAATTTAAACTTCTCTTTCGGTAATTTTTAAAAAAACTACAACAAATCGATGTAAAATTTGAATTACGATACTCCCAAAAATATTATAATCCAACCAAACTTACGTCTTTTTCTTCGCTGTATTCTCTCAACAAATTTATCGCTTCTTTCAGACAGTCCTTTTCACCATAATTGCAAGTACATAAAAATCCTTTCATGTCTGGTGCGAGTTTAAAACGATTGTTCTTAAAATTGTTATTCTTTTTACAATAATATGATGATTTATTCGGACGACTTTCCATGTTTTAAAGTAAAAATGTTATTGTTTACCAATATATAATTTTTAAGTTTTTAACAATCAAATTTTTTAAATAACTTATAATAGAGTTATTTTCATAGGTTGAGTTAATATAAGTATAAATCGCGTATACTTAAAATTTTAAATAGACATATCAATTTTTACAATATACTGTAAGTAATAGGACGTATAGACAACACACAACTACATTAGCACACGTTGAAAATCGAAATGCCATTTATTGATTATTCCGGCACGATTACTTTATCATTGATAAATGATAATAGTGATTGGAGCTTATCAGTAATATCACACTATAATGTCATGCAATAAAATATATTATATAATAATAACTTAATCAGTTAATCCCCGAAATACGTTATTTATTAACATGGTTCAGGATATTTTTATTAATAAAAATGTAATTGATTAAAAATAGTTACTCTATTAGATTAATATGAGATAGAATTAGACATTTTTGAAGTTAAAGATTTTTCTTATCTTTGTAAATATTACCATGGTTCATATTGTAAAAAAGATTAATATATATGAATGTTGCTCTTTTACATTTTAATCTTTTTATTAATTTTAAACATTGTAAAAGTGTAAAGTGTAAATTGCAATTGAGATTTCAGATTTACATTTATTTTTATTTGGGTGAAATAATTAATGTCAATATTCATCATTTCAACAATATAATTTTAGTAAAGTTAATTATTTATACAATACCAAATGGCAAATATCTAACAAATAAATTAATATTATATCAATAAATAATATGTGCAAAATATCCTATAAATGTAATCTAATTATTAATTTAGTTCACCATCTAAAAGGTTATAGGATTAAAATATTGATTGATAGTAGAAAAATAAGACTCAACATTCAAAAACCTTAAATTCAGTTCTATCTTGGTTTTCTAACAAAATATTTCAATTGTACAGTGAACAAAATTATATTAACTTTATTCAGTATTTATTTTTTCAACATAATATGAATATTAATTAATATTGTTATTAATATCACTAATTGTAAAAATATTTTTACATTGAGTATTATTTAGATTTTTTTTTTTGTATTATGTAAATTATCATCAATAATAATATATATTTCATTTGACTATAAAATGGTAAAACATTCATTTGGAGGGATATCCATTTGGTATCTGATTGTCAGAGATATAGTATACATATTATATAATAAATGTATGTAAAAAAAAAAACAAAAGACAGTAACTTTTATATGTTATCTATTCTTGATAAATAATTTTATTGTTTAAAAAAAAGTATAAGTTACACTTGAAAGTTAATAAATGTATTGCCTAAAAACTTATAAATATACAATATTACAATAAACCGGTATATTTTTAGTACATTATAACAAATTTAAATATAAATTACTTCAACAGTTTAACAATGACTAGAATAGTTATAGTAATAAATCTTGAAAGCAAACCTACTTAAATATAAATCTTAGGTATTGTTTAACATTTTTATTTACTAAATGTTAAATAAATAAAATAATAATAGATGCCTATTACCAACTAAATAATTAAATTCTATGTTAGTTTTAAATAATACTCATACATTCAGTTTAAAATATCAAATAAATTCAATTAAACTATCCTGCTTAACACCATAATAAAATAAAATATGATACATGTCAAAGAATAAATTTAATTTCTGATAAGTGTTAATCAGTAAGAAGTTATAATTTTTTTTTAATATTGTCTTATTTTAATGATCAGAAATCAAATTAATACAATTAAAAGAAACTATTATTATTGGTTTTTGAAAAACAAACACAACAATGAAATGAATCTATATTATAAGTTATATAAGTTAATATTAAGTTATATTAAAAAACCAGATAAATTATTAATCAGTTTAAAATTATTTAGGAAGGTGACGCACTTTAGAATTTAGAATATTAAAATTAACTTTTTTATTATAACACATGTCTAAAGGCCCTGGGAAGTTATTGACAATTGTTAATTTTTACAAAAGAACACTTACTTATAGTGGTATTTAAATAAAATTAATTTATCTATGATTTATTCTCAAATTAAGAATCAGTGAGTCACATTAATTGTACTTAAATAATTTGGTATCATCAAACATCACTTATGTAGTCGCTCCAAAACTAGAGTTGGAATAACAAATTAAATTAAAAATTAGAATAAATTTGATATATATGTTTTAAATATATAAATACAAGCAATGAATGTTCATTTAGTAGATAGAAAAAATGACTTACAAAAGTTCACTAGTATGAATATATTTTAATTTAAAGTCTATGATGAATCATAAAAACAGTTCTAGTTAGAGTTCTGTTTATACATAAAAATAATCAAAACTAATATAAGTTTACATTTTTTCATCATAATTTGTTGTTTTCCAAAATTTCTTTGAAGGCAAAACCTGCTCAAAATCTACAAAATACATATCCTTTACAACAATTGTTAAATCATTAATGTTTTTGCTTATTTCTTCTAAACCTGAAATTTACTTAAACATTTTTTTTTTTAAACAATTATTTTTTTCTATACTATAAAATTTAGTTTAATAATTTTCAAACCAATAAACTTTGTACTGACCAACCACTGTAATAGTTATTGGTAACCACATTATTATGAAGATTTTAGTTTTCAGAGGTTTAAAAATAATACATAAAATTATTTTTAATGTGGCCAAAATAAAATAATTTTTTAGAACTATACATTACATTATAATAAATAAGTGGAAGATAATTATTATAATGAACTGCTTAGAACAAAGAACTAAAGCCATTTTTGTTAAAATTAATTATTCAAATTAGTTTTAACCAAAATTCCACTGGTATTAAAATGTATAATAATTATTTTTACTACCTACTCTATCTTAATACTGCAAGTAAATATTTGTTCCTTAGTTGTAGAATTAATAAACAGTTAAGTGTATATGGTAGGATTGAAATAATGTTTTCATTTTTTTTGTGCGTGTGTGGTTAAAAGAACCTGTAAATGTTACCTGTATTATTATTATTATTATTATTATTTTGCAGACTATAGTATAGTATAAATAATCAAATTTTGAAAATCTATACCTAAATGCATCTTAAGTAATAAGATACTTATGCATTTTTCTTTTCAATTACAATAATTACTACTTTCTAGTATGTTAATTTCAGATAGTTAGATCTTTATTTGGTAACCACACATCAGGTCCTGAATGTTCATCGATAACATTTTTTACTTTTTCAAAAATGTCTTCAAACGAATCACCTTTTATTATAGCTGTAAATATATTAAAACATATTCAATGAAGGAAATACATATCTGAATGTTATTTATATCTGTTTACCTGTTAAATATTCATAATAATCTTGTTCAACTTTCATTTCTTGATCGTAAATTTTCTTTGCACGGTCTTCAGTCATTTTATCACTGATTTTCCTAAACGATTTAAAAATATAAAAAAACAGTTAACATAATTTATATTTTTGAAGTTAAAAAATGAAATACCTAAATACTTACATTATAAAATCAAGAGAAGATGCTTTAATAAATATAGTAATAGGATATAGGTCAGCTGCTTGCAGACGTTTAATAGCATTGGAGCTTACATCAAGAATGCAATGTTTATTCTATGAACATTTAAAGGAAACAATAAAATTAGAATAATTAATTACACAATATTTTAAACTATATTGATATACTACATATTATGGTGTACAATATTAATCATACTTGTTCAGCAACTTCTTGGACTGAAGCTAGAGATGTTCCGTATAAATTATCATTAAACTGACCAGCTTCAATAAATAAATGTTCTTTAATATCACGTTCCATTTGTTCACGTGATTTAATAAAATGATAATGGACACCATCAACTTCCCCAGGCCGAATTTCTCTTGATGTGTCTATATGATGTTAAAAACGTTTTATAATATGTATAATTAATAACAAGTAATTTATAAATTATTACGAGGTACACATGATCCAAACTCTTCTGGATATTCTGATATAAGATGATCGTTTATTTTGTCTTTGTAAATTCCAACTACAATGACAGGGCGACTATAGCTTAATGTTTTCTTAACAACAGATTCATATGGTAAAGTTGGTTCTTCTAAAATACATACATAATATTCAATTAATATCTTTCAAATAAAATATTCATTTTTTTAAATGTAAATAAAAAACAAATTATGTTGTATACAGAGTTTCACTTAAAAATTAACTCAGTTTATTTCAGTCAGATTATCTTACATTGAAATAAGAATATTTTAGAAAGATAAATAATATTAAAATATAAATTCATGATCAATTTTCAAAATGTTACTTCTTTTGGTGTAGCATACTCAATAAATAAAATTAGTACTTTTTTTTTTTAATGGCAATGTGTTATTTTTACAAAATTTAAATAATTCAATTTTTTCAAGCAACTTTGATGATTTAGTTTTTTTCAGTTGATTTACAAGGGTTTTAACAAAACTGCATTTATTTTGTCACATTTTATTATTCTTAATAATTAAAATACATTTTGTAAAAACTATCTTACAGTTAAAAGTTTGAGGAGGACAAAACTATTACAAAATATATGACTACTGAATGAAAATATATTGAGATCACAAAATTAACTTTAAATTTAAGGGGTCTCAGCAGTTTAAGATTTTTTATTGAAATTATGGCCAAGGCTTTTAACTGTTAAAATGTTATAAGTCATTTAAATTTTGAGTTAGAAAAAAAGTTTATTCATTAAAGTTGATTGAAAAAAATTGACCTATTTTAATTTAGTTAAAAATTTTAAAAATGGTCTGTGTCCTCCTCAAAAATTTTAATTTCAATCAAAGGCTATCCAGTTGAAATATTCTGTATTATTATTTAAGTGAAATAAACTATATATGATACCTAAAAAAGAATACAATTCAATAAAAAAATTACTAATAAAATAAAATATTCTAAAAATAAGAGAATAAATGTTATATACGTCATAAATATTGCTGAATACTACTTTAAATTTAAAATAATACAAATTTATTTAATTTTAATTATATTCTATCAAATTAATTAACAGAATATTAATAACCTACAAAAATGTCTATAAAAAAACTATTTTTTTTTTAATACATTGAGATATTTCTAAGGCATTTTTTACTTAATGACAGCATGATGCAATATTCAAGTTGAGGTTAGAAATTTTATAAAATGACTAGTAACACATTTGATTTAAGGAATTTTAACAATTTATTACACGTATAATTGTATTGTATTTAAATAATGAATATAAAATGTAAACCTAAATAAAAGTCTACATATTATAATACAAATGGGAAAAAAATTAATGTTAATAAAAATAAGGTCACTAAAATTGATTAATTGTTGTGATTAATGTGTAGGAAAATGTTGAATACATGCTAACTGCCGTTATCATGCAAATAGATGGGCACTATTAGTTTTAAAAAGCATAGTAAAAGAAAATTATTAAATTATAAAATATATTTCATGCTGTTAAATGGAAAATAATAAATAAATGGTTATGAAAGGAAAGAAAGGATGTATATTCCTAGTGAAATATCTCTTACCAACAAGTAGTTCAATTATGCTTATGCTGCTTAAATTAATACCTTCAGATGTTGGATCTTCATGAGTGTAACAAAGCATATAATCTGTAAACCCAATGTTTACTGTACAATGTGTATAAAAGGAAGAGAGAAGAATAATTCAACCAGTTTCAATGGGGAATCATCTTAAACCATTTTTAAATAAGATACTAGGTGGAAAAAAAATAATACTTACGATCTTGGTCTGTTCCAGTACATTCTAAACGATCTGCTTTACTACGCATGAATGGAAACATTCGACTTAAAGCAAAATTTTTCTTTTTCTTTTCCAGAGTAGAAGTCTAAATAAAATTAATTCATTGTAGCTTGGATAGAACATCAGATCATAGTAAAAAGTGTTTACTTTATCAATAAGAACTGGAACATGACCTTGAAATTTAACTGTACGATCCCTTGACTTTTGTTTTCGTTCCCAACGTTTTTTTGAAGGTACAATACCAATACGATCCTCTTCACCAGCTGGAACTAACTTCTTAGCTTGCCACCATTCATCATCATTAGCATTAAGTATGTGTAGTATACTACCATATGTAAATGATATACCACGACTTGGTAGGCCATCATCCCGGTTTGGATCATAATCAAACAAAGCCCTGATATTTAATTTTATATAGGTTAAATGGCTATAGTTGTAAAAGCTTATTTCTTATTACAATATATAATTTGTAATGTTACATAGCATATTTTTGACTGATAATGGCCTAACAAATTAAATACCTAATTAGTCATCATTCAGTGTTTAATGGTGACTGATGACCATCTGATGAAAATCCATGGTTGTCATAAAGTATATGCATTTAAATCCTAACTTAAATATTAAACTTTAACAGGTATGAAATGACTATAATACTTGATTAGAAATGCAGTATATTATGTTTATAAAAAATCATATTCTATTCAATATAGGAAATAATTTTGGTGGTCCCTTTAAGCATAAATATATTTAAACACAATAGACATACATATGGTTGATTTAGTGGAAGAATACACAGGTGTTTCCTGGTTATGGCTGAGGTTATTTTTTATAATTATAAAAGTATATAAAAATAGAGACAGTAGGTTCTGCATTATTGGCATTTTATGTATATAATCATATTATAATTTAAAATATGAATGTAACTGTAGTAGTAGCGGGATATGAATTAAATGTCTATAAATTTCTTATGAAACTGTTTCAGTAATAAACATGAATATACCCATAACAGAAAACTACATTAAATTAATATTATAACTATATTTTGAAACTAAATACCTGACAAATAACTGTAATTTTTGTGAAGGTCTTGGTAATGTGCTTGAAGATACAATAGCTTTTTTCATTATTTGTTCTTTAATGTCTGCTAATTTAATTTGGAGCCTATGATATTCTACAGGTCGTTGTTGAGCTACAATAGTAACAATTGGACCATCGCCCTAGAGATTAATTTTAATTTTAAAAACTATATTATACTAATTATTAAAATTGTATCAAAGAAAAAATAATATTACTTTTAAAGCTATAGCGGCATCATCATGTGTGGCATTTTGCATGTCAATTGCATTAACACTTAAAATACGATCACCTGGTTCTAAAATCCCATTTTGATCAGCTGGGCTACCAGGTGCCACATAAGAAATAAAAATACCTTCCTTATCTTCCCCACCAATAATGTTAAATCCTAACCCTTCATCAGACCTTCGAATAGTGGCTACTTTTTCAAGCCTGAAAAATTGTACATTTTTATAAATTATTTATGCAAAAATAAAATGTTCAAATAATAATTAAACATACATTAATGATAAATTTTCACTGCTCGATTTTGATGAAATGCTGGATTTAATTGGTGTTTTTGGTTTTATATAACGCATGCTAAGAGACTCTTTCACTAAAAGTTGTAGTAATAAAAGTATGAACACAAAAGTATATATTATTTTAAAAAATAAATGTACATACCAATGACAAGTGTTACTTTATCACCAGTTTCTTTAAGAGCAGCAACTGCTTCTTCATGAGTTACATTTTCTAAGTCTACATCACCATTCTATGTAATATAAGAATATCAAATAGTTATTTAAAAATTACTGATTTTTGTAAACCAAAAATGTTTAATTAATACCATTCATCAAAGTTAATGTTAATACTTACCAGCGTATTTTTAACAGCAATCAATTTATCACCTACTTCCATACGACTGTCTTTATGAGCTGCACCACCTTCTAAGATCTTTGTAACATATACTCCACTATCTCCAGGTAAATGAACATTACCAACACCTCCAGCTATTGTAAAACCAAAACCACCATCCTCTTTTTCTAATTCAATCTCTGTAACTGTATATGATTTTTCTGGTTCAACAAATGCATCCTTTTTACGTCGTTTTACATGCTAATTGTTTATAAAGTTTAAAAATTAATATTAAATAAATATGTAATCAATTGTTAATTTAAAAACAAAACATACCAGTGTAACAACATCTCCAGCATTTTTAAGAGCAGCTACAGCAAAACTATGAGGTACATGTTCCAACGACTGATCATTCACTTTTAAAATAATATCATTAGCACGAAGACCAGTTGCACCAATATCTGGACTAACTCGAGTCACAAGAACTAATGATTCTGAATCCACACCACCAGCAATGCTGAAGCCTAGGCCACCAGAGCCCCTTTCAACTGTTATTTTATCATATTCCCAATATTCAGTTTCATCATCCTAAATAATTATTAGAAAATTATTTTATATAGACATATTAAAGTCATTAAATATATCTTAGGTAATCAATATTATATTAATAATAAAAATAATAATAATAATAATGTCCTTTATCATGGTAAAATAAATTCCTATTTACACGAAATAAAATAAAAATTGCAATTAACAGATAATTGACATCAGAAAACTATTTAGACCAATCACAAATATAAATATCAATACATAAACATTAAAATATCTTTGTTAATTTAAAGAGCTATCAATAAAAAAAAAAATATATTCAAAGTATTAATCGTAGACATCAAATATAGGAGAGATAAACACATATATTTTTAAGAAATATACAGTAAATAAAATAAACCTTTATTTCTAGCATTTTTAAAAAATAAGATGATTAATTCAAAATAGTCTAAAAAATTATTTAATAACCAATGTAAAAATGTAAAGATAATAGTCTGCATCTCTTAAACAAAAGCAAAATAACAATAAACAACATCATAACTAGAATGGAGGTTCTTCAAACATTACATTACATTAGCATGTCCCAAATAGTGGGTCGCGACCTACTACTGGACCATGAAAATATAATACCAGATCACAGAATAAATAAAATTCTCACATTAAATTTTTTTATGTATCATTTTGTTTGATAATTTGAACTTATTAGTAAAAATGTTTACAAAGAATTTACAACATAAATAAATAATTATTGAGATTATCAACTAGACTTTATAAAAAACCTCATCTATAAATCTATAAACTCACTTAGACAGATTTAAGGGAGAATGGACATTAATAAATTTTTGGTTATCTTCTTATCAAGAGTACCCAGTTTTAGCAGAACAAGCGATAAAGTTTCTCATACCTTATGTCATGACCTATACTCATAAGTGTGAAACAGAATTTTCAACACTCATGTTCCTGAAGAATAAATACAAAAATCAGTTGGAATTGAACTTACTTTAAAAAAAATTAACGTTCTTTCCAGCAAACTTGGAGTTACAAGTTAAAAATAAACAACTTCATACTTCTCACTGATAGAAGTCAACTAATATATCAACTAATTATTACATTGTTTTTACAAATTAATGCTTCAATTGTATAATAAAATTATATGTGGACATTCAAATGTGTTTTATTTTTATTTTTTTTGCACAATGATAAATGTAAAACCTTTTGGTAGGTCATAAAGTAAAAAAATATTAATTACTGGGCCAGCTCAAACAAGAATTTGGGAAACACTGCATTACATAATAAAAATAAAAATTAATTTTGAATTTTTAAGAGACATAGAGACCACGCCAAACTTGGATATTCAATTTTAGTAAAAAATAACAATTTTAATGCATAATCAACATACGAATTTTTAGAAGTAAATTTATTTAAGTTGAATATCTAATTAGCAATAAAATAAATATGGAGTTAAAAAGAAAATTTTTAATTAAAAAAAGATGCCTAAATCATTAAATTTACTTTATTTACTATAATTATAGAATCCAGAATAGGCCTTATATATATTTTTAATTCAGCCAGTTAAAAACAAGTAAAACTATGAAATATCATAAAACTTAAATAATTCAAGTTATAATAATTAATTAAGATTTACTCTGTCAAAATCCTTAAGTATGTTTATCTATATTATAATACTGTATTAAATATAAAGTTTTTCTAACAATTATTTATCTTATTATAATATGTGTATTATGTACAATCTTTTAACATTTAAGTTTCTAGAATTAAAAACAAATGTTTTAAGTCTACTGTTTTAAAGATTATTATTATTTTTTTAAAATTTACTTTCAGTGATTTCATCTCAGTTGATTTATTTTACAATTTATTAAATTTTCCATAATTAACAATTATTTAATTATATTAGGATACACTTACAGTTTCAAGATTAGATTCTTGTTCAGTAGCATCGCCACAAGACTGATTTCCAGTATGTCCACTCAGCCCATTAATCTAAACAACAAAATATAAATATATTAACAGACACAAAATATTTTTATTTATTTATTTATGTGCATACTTGACAACTTATATCCACAAATTCTTTCTTTTTATAATCGCGTTGACATTCAGTTTCCAAGGGTTGAAAATTAAGATCATTCTGTTAAGAGACATATTTAATAATCAGAATAATTGATAACATATTTTAGCAAGGTATATAAACATGTTATTTTAAATTTTATACAAAATATCTAAATAATGTTTTAAATATAGATTAAAAATTAATGCAATTGGAATCGTGATTTACTTCACTAAATAAATAAATAAAATAAAAAACAGATTTAAGTAGTGACAATGGACGCTCAAGCCTTCAAATCTTGTACAAAAAAAAATTATCAAATTTACTTATTCTTTTATTATACTACAGATTGTAAATATATATTTATTTAAAATTAAAATAAATAAATAAAAAAGATTATTAACAATTATAATACTTGATATAATAAGGATTTTTAATTTTATTTATTTAAGTTTGTTGAAGGTTTACACTGCATAAATAAGCTTGTATTTGCAATAAGTAATGAAAAATGTTAACCACGCAGTAACCAAAATTACATTTTAATACTAAATAATTTATTGATTGTAATTTTGAAAATGTTGAATAATTATAAGTTATAAGTTATAAGTATATGCAAAAAGTTTATTTTTTTTAAGGATCAATTTTACTGTATCGCTTAATAAACACTTTTAACCTATGTAAACTACTTAAGATTAAAAATCTACCATTATCTTTGACAGCATTTTCTATAGATGCAAATACATACGCTAGTCACTTATTTATAAACTAATGAATATATTTCTAAGAATAAAACTGAATACACTCATTTTGCTATTATAAACTAAAATAGTAAGTTGTAATTACCAAACCAACTTTAGCATCAAATTGATCCAATATATATTTTTGTGCAATTGATATATCTTCATCTGTTACAGAATGACTTTCATCTTGAAGTGCCAATTCATAAAATTCTTGTATATCTAAGTTAATAAAAACAATAAGAGTAAGAGGATTATTATTGCATGCAGTGCCATGTAATGTTATCCCACTTATCACATCCATTAATATATTTATCAGTTTTGTTAATTTAAGTCTTTGGCTAATGTTTTAATTTAATTTAATAGCTAAAAATTAATGGTAGTTGATCTGAGACCAATATTATAAAAATGAATTACCAACAAGAGCCTGAAAAAGCCTAGACTTAAAGACGCTGATCACAATCTTCATAACGACTTGTAGATCATTATTGGGTACAGTGGAGAGTTTGGCATGATAGTCTTCCAGAAGGGCTAAAGCCCTAAGGGTTTCTGTAATGAAAAAAAAGATAATATGTTAATAAAATAAAACGGGACTTAACAATAAAAAAATCATCAAACAATGATTTTATAGTAATATATATAGTACATATTATTATATTATTATTGTTATATTTCACAACACCAATAAAAAATAGCACAATATAAAAACGTAAACAGTTGATTTTTATTTTTTACGAACATTAATGACATTGTCGATACTTACCGTCTTGTTTACAGACTGGCATTTTTGTGGTAAAAGCCTTGACTCTTAAGTGTAATTGTATGTTATTGTTATGTCGTACTGTGGAATAGGTTTTTGTTTAGTCCTTTGAATAGTAGCGTTTTACGAGGCGTCAACGGCGATGGCCGATAACCCTAAATGAATGAAGGACGCACACGCACGCACATACAAACCAAGAGGACTCGATGATGGCGACGCACTAACGTTAAGCGCGAGACGTCGCGGAAAAATCAATCGCGTCAGCTGTGCAACGTTAGTGGGTCATGTTGGCGAGGGTAACGTTAAAGCAGTTGTATAGCTACTTGGTTTTATAACTGTTTTTTTTTTTTTTTGAGTTCTTGACGTCGTAACATCGGACTAGCTGATCATCTGGATATGACAATAAAGATGCGATGATGATGGAAATAATAATATAAAATTGAAATATTATAACTTATAAGCATTAATTATACTTTATATTTTTATAGTATTATAGGTACTCATGTGCCGGAAATGGGTCAATGGTCTTCACTCGACTGTAATCCGGATTCCCAACGACTAACTAGAGTACGAAACCCTTATAATTTTTAATTCATATCCTAAATCCTTAATGTTTGTTTGCGGAAAATTGTTCAAGGTCAGGAGTGTGGCGGATGCTGGTTTCTTAAAATAGACAGTGTTTAAAAATACACAATTGATACATGTCGCCCTCGCCACACGTTTCCTTGTCATCACTATCGCCCGTGAAATCTACCACAGACGACGACGACGTGTAGTGTACCTAGTGTAAATACATCACAAAATTAAAAATACATTATAAAAAATAATAAAATAATAAATAATCTAATTAATTTTAAATTTTGTGACATCGACATTAGTATAACTGTGAAAAACAACGCCACGGCAATACTACGATTCGAAAAAATAATATTGAAAGTCGAGTAGTACATACACTATATGTATATTTATATAAACAATTTAGTATAGTTTCCCAGCTTTCTGGAACTGAGGTAATTATAAAGAACGAATAACTTGATCAAAGTAGTTAATTCAATTTGTTCTATGAGTTTTGAATTTCACCAAGATAAAACATAAATATTATAATTTATAATACATAAAATAAATAAAACTTTATAATGAACAATAACATATATATATATATAAATTATATATTATAATATGATGATTGATCATAAGTTTAAAAATAAAAATCAGTAGATATATTTGACCTGGTAGCGTGAAATTACACCTTCCAAGCAAATAGCAATTTAATTAACTTCAAGTACTTGGGTCTTGGATACGAATTTATATAAAAAGTTCAAAAAATAAATACAACAAAATAGTGTTGAGAATCTCAACATCAGTAATTAAAAGGAATATTTTATTTCAAAGTTCAAATTCGTAACATTTCAAACAAATGTTTTAGATGTTTACACTTTTACACTTTCAGCAGTGATCGACTTTAGTTTACAAGTTAACAACCAATCGTGCATTTGCATTGATTTAAATATGTAAATGTAATATTTTATAATTATTAATTAAGTTGTTTTACTAATGGATAATATTTCAAATAAAATATTATCAACTTGTTGAAGTATGATCGTATGAAATCATACATTCAAAAATGTTAATACTGGTTATTTAAAGTGATAAGTTCTGAGCCTAAGCCTCTTTTTACCAGCTGATATATATACTTTTAGTTTGATAACGTAATTAATTTTAATTAGTAATTAGTTTAGTATAAACAACACTAGAGTTTTTGGGGGTATAGGTGGTAGTGTAGTAGGTACTTCAGATTTGCGTCTGAAATGTATAACTTTTTAAAGAGATCAGTCTAATAAATAATAATAATAAAAAGTACCTATTTTAAGAAATTATTCGCAATCATTTATTTTCAAACTATTATATGAATTAGGCTTTACATACAGTCACCTATATAGTTATAACTATATAATTTTAAATTGATTTAAAAAAACATATAAGGTATGATATTATTTAAGCAATGTACATACTGGCTATTTCATCGAAGTGTTTTTTTTTTTTTTTTTTTAATTATTAAAAATGAATTATAAAATACCAAAAAATGTATTTTTAATGTATTAAATAAGAAAATAGCAATGTTTTTAAAGGGCCTCCAATATTAGTAGTTTCAAACCTGTCTCAGATTCAATACTGAGTATTAACTATTAGTAATAATTATTCAATTAACATGCTTTGATATATTTTTAAATATTCTTAAATATTAGAGCACTTTTCTAAAAAATTAAATCAAATAAATAATTTTAAAAATAGAAATAAGTAGAAAGAATTTCAACCAAAATGTCATGTTATTAATGAAGTAGGTAGTTCCTTCTCTTATTATGATATTGTAATCGTAATATTATGTTAATTAAACATAAGTATTTATGTTTTTAATGTTAGTTAGGTATATTGTTTTGAACTTGTCCTTACAAGTTATAAATGTATCAAATTAAAATTTAATAATAAATCAATGTATACGAAAAACGATTGTGAGCAAGGACGGTCTGTCAGTCTTTATTACTTTATTAGGTACCTATTTCATTATTTTAGGATTTGTGTTGCTATCATAAGTAGTATTGTAGTAATTTATTTTACTATTAGTAAATGGTAACACACTAATACAGCAGGTCAAATTATTTTTTTCCAAAACATTGCATTTAATATACTATTAGTATTAAATTATTTAAATAGTTTTTAACTATAAAATGTATTATTTTATCACTTTTGAGTCAATCTCAATACACATTTACGTCTTACGATTTACCTAAAGTAAATTGTTTTGATATGTGAATGCGTTCGTGGTATTTACAAGTGACAGGCAGTCATTTAATTTAAACCTATTTTTAAATATATCTAAACATTATGAAAATTGAAAATGTCAATTCGACAAAATCAATTTTTGTTTCTATTAGCGTAACAAAAGAATAATAGATATTAAATTATTAAACAATAAATTGAATAAAATATCTTAGAACAAAAAAATAAATATATTAGAAGTATTAGCTAGTAGCATAAATAGATTGTGGAACAAAAAGTAGTGGTCCTCACAGATAATACAATATGGTGATAACGACGTTATCTAAACTTTGGTATATGAGTCGCGTGCCTAGCGTTCGACAAGAAGACAGTATACCGGTGTCTGGACGTGTACGACCGACAGGCAATCTGTTTAATTTTAAAATTTTTACTGTTAGTCTTTATTTTTGATTTTGTATAGTTTTGTCCTTTGTCTGCCACAAAGTACATTAATTATAATTTATAGTCGATAGTAATTTATTTCGCTTTTTGCCTACAGTCCGAAGTCCGTACTTTGTGCATTGTCAAAACGTTATGTTCATCGAAAAAGGGAAACCAGAAGAAATCCCTAAAGGGGCCATACGTCTCACAAGAGACGAGGTCCTAGAGTACATGACCGACCTGATACACAAATGGCCAAACACTATGGAATTGTCAGTGACGATCACATTGCATGAATATCTTTTATTGAGCACAATCTTATTGGTTTTAGATGGGCGTTGAAACACGGTAATCCAATTCTATCATCGGCTGTTGTACTGTCAAGTTCGGTGATTTTAAATTTCTACCGCAAAAAACTACAACTTAGAAATTATGGACGTTTTACTTTGTTCTTACCAATTGTTCTTATCCCATCGATTTTTGATCAATTGTATCAAACCTCAGTATGTATATATGAATATACAACATTACAAAGACAACAATTAAATCATTATATTTTATAGATGACTACTAAATCAATCATTTTGCAAGAAGATTGTCCCATTTGCATTAGTACACAATCAATGTTTATACAATTGGGCACAGGAATTGTTTATCCATTGATGGGCACAATTGGTGGAACTTATATGGTAAATATTCATTGCACTTGAACAGTCACTTTAACATTTCACTAAAATTTTTAATTTTCATTGTTATAAATATTCCACCATAACTTATCATATACTTTCAGTTTGCCCACAAAATGGACACATTTTATTTGAAATCCAAAGGACCTGAGATGATAAAAGAATTTGCTCTACATGTAACAAAATTAAGTCGTCCACTCTATAATAGACTTACAGCATTTGTTATTGGTCATGCATTATTAAGTTATATGATAAGTCGTTATCAAATGGATAATTTTGAATTTTTAAGGATTAAAATGTTACAACAACAAAATGAAGAAATAGAAGCATTACGTCAAAGTAAACAAATTGATAACAAACAATGATCCATTATGTTACTGTTAGAGTAATTTAAGTGTAACTACTGTATTCTGTCCTGCGATAAAGCATGCTGATTATGCGTATTCCTATTCTACACTCTCCTATTGAGACTGGTTTCATTATGGTAGGATTTTGTTTGGGAATTTGCATAAGAATTAATTTTGTTTGGACCCTGGGGTCTTTTCTCGCTGTACAGAATATAATTAGAATTTTAAAATAAGTAGAATATTTTAGCTTATAAAACAGTGTTTTATGTCCTTTAATGTAATATAATAATGTTATGGTTAGTTTTCATATTTATGTGGGTTAATTGTTTATTATTGTGTAATCAATATATACTAATATATTGTTTATAGAATATATTATATTATATTGAAAGTGGGCATTTACATATAAAAGTAGTCAGTTACTGATTAGATTATATATTAGTTATATGATCTAAATGACTAAATGTTTATTTAATCACTCAACAAGTAAAGTCTGCATAATTGGTTACTTTCTTTTACTCCATACTCTGGCTGCTCTCTAAAGAATGAATCTGTACTTTGGCAAGAATATCAAAGTTAGCATTTAGTGACATGGCTGGTGTCAAAAATTTAAGATGAGATGAAAAACTCAGAAAAATTTTAATTTGTTATTTCTCTTGTGGAAAGTAATTATATTTTAAATACCATAAATAATGAATTTAGTAAAATATTTAACTTAATTTAATGATGAGTGATCTTAATGTTTTACTAAAAATTTATGATTTTTTCTTAAAAGTTAAATCTTAATGTTAGGTGGTTAATCAATAGTTCACTCCACTATATCAACAAACTTCATTAATCTATATACATTTTTAATACTTGTTAGTTATGTAAGTAAATACTAATTTACCATCGTAGTTAAACCTTTCCCAATAATAAGCAGCACACATAACCATTTTAGTAAATACCAACAGTTAAATCATATATTTTGAATTAATGAAACTGTACTCAAATACTTTGAATAATTATTTAAATATTGGCCCTATAATTTTAATAGGAAACAATAATATTAATAAGGTCCTACTTCTATACAAAGAAATAATTAAACATAGGTATCAAGCATAATTGTATAAATTGTATAAATTGATAGTTTCTAAATATATTCCTGCATATAATAATTGTATGTCTTATAATATCATAAGATAGTAAATATCTAGATATTGTATACACTGACACTAATATATGTATACCTACTTATAAATTAAATAAATCAATAATTTAAATTGGAATATATTTAGCAAAATAATATAATTTGTATAAAATAATACAATATGTTATTACTAATGTCAAATTAATAATAATCAACTTATAGTCGTAAGTGACCTATTTTAGTTAGGCGGCAGTTAGACCATGACCAGTTGGATTGTTGTCCCAACCAAGTGAAACTTCTGTTGCCACTTAGTAAAGCCACATTTCTACACACAGTTTAGCTTCTGAAGTACCTTTTTAATGTAATGTACATAGACAATTGATATTTAATAGATTAAAAGTATATAATTTAATCAAATGCCAACCAGAAAAATTGTTTGACAAAAAATTAAAATCATGTTTTTATAAACAAGCTTACTTTGAAATTAGTGAACACATAATAGGTTTTACAACGTTTTAAAAAATAAAACTATTATTCTTCATAAAACAATATCATTAAAAATTGATATATTCTGTTTTTAATACAACCAAGATAAATTAATAATATAAATTAAATTAATGAAAAAAATTGCTTATACATATTAATTATTAATTAATAATTATAATATATTTTTTAAGTTTAATATTCAAATAACTTAAAATCAAATACAAATTAAAAAAGCTCTTTGATTTTTTTTTTTTACTTATTTATTAAAGCATTATTATGAAAAAGTAGACTTTTTATATATTAAACTTAAAAATAATAGATAAATTCTAATAACATTAATGACTTTTTAAATTTTAAATCATAAATTATAAAATTTGAAAGTTTTAAAAATGTAGTAATGATGGAATAATTTCATTAACTCACTAAGTTAAGGAAAGATATTAATTAATGTGTATACCTAAATAATTATTAAGATGTCGGAGCACTGTTTGTTTTCTTTCATTGATCCGCACATGATAACAAATTTGTGTCCAGCAGAAGCAATCTTATTAGCTTTAATTGAGTGAAATGACTTATTATTAAATTTAAAATTAAGAATATCTAAGTCTGTATGCTCACTTTTTACATTATTTCAATTTTTTTGTAAAATATGAATTTTTAAAATATACACTCATAAAATACAGAAATATTTTAGCAAAAATATTAATAATATTATGTTTATTAGATTGATAATATTTAATATAATTTACTCTAATATTAAAGATTAGTTCTGCTGAACACAAATATGTTATATTCCATATGGGTTAGAGGAAAAAAAAACAAACGGGGACCTAACCTAACAATGACATTCTCTTAAGAAATTGTATTATCTGTTACATAGTTTAAAATAAAATGGAAATAACAATTAATTTTAAAATCATAAGAAATTTAAATTTATTGACTTATTACATAAAACCATCAAAAATGGAAATTAAAATAATATCTTTTACCTTAAAATCACAACAATTGCGGAATTTTTATAAAACTTATAATTTTTTTTATTGGTCATCTGATTTTATATTATATTGGATAATTATAATAAATTAGTGATGTTTGTAGTTGGAAATACATTGATTGCGAAAAGGGATGTGAATGAGTCAAATACATGTTTGGGTTTTTAAAAATTGGCAGTGTTGGTATTTGAGGGGCCACTGTGTCTTTTTGGCCCCAAAGATGGTGCTAGCAACGTTGAGTTTGCATATGATTCATATAATCTTGGAAACTGACTGATACAGTTTCACTTTGGTATCTAGTCAATTTTAAAGAACGACGAGTCTCGGGTGTTACATGTCCTCGATAACCTCCTTTACGCAAGAGTGAATCAATGGTTTGTATTTTGTCCCAGCCTGTAAAAAATTAATTTTTTTTGTAATTTTATAGGAAAATATAAAGTATTAAAATTAACAAATAAAAATATTAGAATTAATAGTAAGATTATGCACAACTATTATTCGTTTTACCTTGTTCTTCAGCCACTTCTGGTAAATAAGTAGCAGTTCGCCTCATCCCACGTTCGTTTTGAAACTCAATGCGTATACCGTGAACGCCGATTTCCCAATCGTTGTAATCTTTGCCTTCCTCGAAGTGTAACAATATCGATATGGTTACATGTAATCGGTTCAATTCGTCGCTTGAGATTGGCTTGAACCGTGAATCTCTCAGTGCACTGTTAAAAATATACAATAAAATCAATTGTTATTTGTTCATAAGCAACTATGTAACCAACCTACAAATACAATGTAAGCAAAGGAAAAATTCAATAACTATCAGTTTATAAAAAATTAGATTACAATTGTATCTACGATTTAACTGTAGATATATACTTTCATAATGAAAAAAAATATTGAAATCTGTCAATATTTTATAAGTTCATATTGATATATTACATTTGTTTTCTTTATTACTAATTATTCAATACCTATTAAACATTTAAAAAATATTAAAATATTACACTTAATTTTTAATTAGATTGTATGAAACAAAAAATAAAGGTTAAAAATCAAGTTAATGGACAAGAATGCAAAATATAAATTTTAAATACTAAAAATATAAATAGCTAATAAAATCCATCTAATATTATTTTATAATTTTATTACCATTTAAAATTACCAAACAACCAAATTTGAAAAATAATTTAATTAAATTTTTTTCTTATTATATTTAGTCATCTTTCAAAATGTTATGTTTAAATTGTGTTTAAATTTACCTTGTTATAGCGTATTCGCGTAAGCCACTGTGTAAAGCAATTGAATTGAATGTGCCGATGCACCCCCTGAGTTTCTTGTCTATTCCGGTCTCCCATGTTACAAACAGAGGACTGTAACAAAAACAATCGCATTACCTATATAAAAACTATAATAATTTCGGAACAATGCCCCTACTACGAACAATAAAAAAAAAAATCAAAGAGGAAAACTGATAGTAACAGATCATTATTACAACAGGGTATGATCTCAGATGACAATGTTAATAGCTATAACGACCTACCACAGGTGCACAGAAATGTTACCCAATGTTTTCCTATAATTGCATAAGGTCTAATATTACCTTTTCCCATTGAACTTACAATGGGTCATTTGTGAAATCTGGTTTCTTGGGCGGTTCCAAACTGTTCAGATAGGAATAAAGCGTATCAAAACAAAAATATCCCATTGCTGGAGTAGTGATCTTTTGAACAACACCATCGAGTGGAGCCGTCGATGCACTGCCACTACCACCATTGACGTCTAACGACACCTGATGATGATGATGGAGTTTCTGTTTCTTGGTGTTTGTTTCACAAGAACCCGACATTTTCGACGTGTGGATAGAGATTGTATTAAAACAACTACCACACAAAACAATTTCTACAACGGTAGTATTTAAGTAAAACGCTAATCGTAATAATTAATAAAAACAACTGTCTAACATCGGATTTAATTAAAATTTTATAAGGAATAAACAAAATTTGACATTTCGAACAAAGGAAGAATAAAAATATGATGTTTTGTTTCCTACAATAATATACTATTTACGTATTTATTAACTGGAAAACAAAATTTTGGTTTATTTTATCACAAAGGAAACAACAGCTGACTGACTAACTGAGTCATAATTATTATCATGGATGAGCCACAATCGAGTAATCGAAAATCACATTCCCTGGCCAGTTGTTTTGTTTCCATACAATTGTTATATTAACCATAAAAAAAAAATTACATAAACGGTGAACTATCTTCTATCACACAGTTCACGACTACAAATTAGATTTAAATATAATATGGTCATAATTTAGATTTTCTAAATATCGTGCTCATGCCTTAAAAAAATATAACTTCTATTTTTTATTCTTAATTTGTGACAATAAATACCGAACGAATGGCTGCACTGAATTTTATCGTGAATTCCCAGATGTTGGTCATCAATACAGTTGTTACTTGTTACTTGTTACTTATTAGTTGTCACTACTCACTACTCACTACTCACTGTCTCACTTGTCACTTGTCGTTGTCAGTTGTCACTTGTTAATAATGTAGTTGGTTGTTGGCTTATTAACTTAATAATATAAATTATAAACATATAATAATCATTTTAATTAATAAATAATATTTTAATTTAGCGAATTATATACAACGCACTTATGCGCCAAATATATAATTATATTAAAATAGGTATATTATGAACATAAAAATAAATTGCAAATTTACCAAGGGTCCATGGTAAATTTATGTTCAATAAAATCAATTTTATATTAATTTAAAAAGGGTCATACAAAACAAATAATTTTGATATTCATATTTCATAATGTGATTCCATAAATTTGTTGTTTTTCATTTTATGACAAATTTGTAATCTAAACTGTTTTTAGTATACGAACGGGAGTTAAAAAAAGATTAACATGTAATGATACTATTAAATAGGTACATATTAAATAAAATATTATATACAGAACATAATTAGGACAAAAATAAATTTAATTTTAAAGAAGTCCTTATTTTTGGCTTAATGATGCCTGATGAAACACAACAATTTTAAATCTCTTCTTCTTCTTTCTTCATACAGTAACCGACTTTCAAAAATTCAAAACTAAAATGGATTTTATAAAAACAATAACAGTAAAAAGATAATAACAAACCAACTTAATATTAACCCTTCTAATTTTCTCACACTTCAACAAAACCTTAATGGCTTAATAACATACAGATAAGCGTCGAATGACTTAACTATATACATAAAAAATTACAAACTTACTAAAAAACCTAATTTTAACTGTAATTCCATCCTTATAATCACACCAATGTCAAATTCTGCAAAAAATAAAATATCAATAGTCTAATACTTAACCATTTTATAAAAGGTTAATACCTTTATAATTATAATACCTTTATTATTGCACATAGTGATGCCTAATTATTTACAGTATTTATAAGTATTCATTTTTATTTTAAGTCTAATTCATAAAACAAACTGGAAAAAAATCAATCAATCACTGGACAATTTTTATTACATTTTTAAATAAAATGTACACCTACTCTGCCTCACTGAGGTAGCAGTAGTAAAAATCTTATAGATTTAAAAGAAAATGAGTTTTATATAATTATTTTTAGTGTAAACGTTAATTTCCACACCATCCTAGAGCCCGGACCCAGGTTAAAGGTATAGCAATAGACGTGGTTTTTTAAAGTGGTGTACTATACAGCATTGTCAGCATTCGACCGATTAATATTTCAATAAATTGCACTCATCACTCATCAGTCATCATTATTCGTAGTAACTATTTTTTTTTTTAGTAGGTACCTGTTGGCTGTTTAAACAAGTATTTTATAGTTTTAATAGTTTTATACGGTTATAGATATATAGTACCTACTATCAACATCTGTAGTCATCGATACAGTCTTATCTATGTTTTGTAATATAGGCTATCACAATAATTCACGTCTATGTTGTGGCGATTTGACTTGGCCCCTTGTTGTTATTACTTATTTATTACCGTCAACAGTCGACCTTGCGTAGTCTGTTCCGTATTCGTAGTTGTTGCCTTGAAGTACTATAGCTGTATCGTCGTGTAGAGTGACGGAACTTAGCGGTTGGCACAGTGGCCAGTGCGTAATAGCTATTCGTAATAAGTGTTACTGTGTTAGTCAGAAACTTTCTATGAGTCAGTAGTCACGGCTCACGGACATTTCCTTTTTGTAGCTCACTCTCGTTTAAATTGTGGTTGCTCTTAAATACCTTTCTTTTTTTTTTTTATTAATTTTTTCCTCAATCATATAATTAAAAAATTAAAAAATGTTCAAAGTATACAATAAATTAAACCGTAATCAATTAAAAACACTAGAAGAATATAGGACCATTCAGAAAACTAGAAGGTATGTCGTTTTTTTTACTGTGCAATTTTATTGACATTTGTTGCACAACTGAATGTAATTTGTATCCGTAAAGTGCGGATTATAATATTGAAAATTAACAATACTTAATAAAAATAGAAAATCTGAATTGAGTAAATAAACAGGTAGACACTATTGGTGCTTATTATTAAGTATTTTTAATTTAATTCATTTTGCACAATTTTCTGTCATTCTATCAATTTTTTTATTACATAGTAAACAACTTTTTATTGATGAAAGATTTTATTTTTCTCTATGCTCAATGAATTTACTTAACTTTTATGAATTAAAGGAAAAATAACTTGTATTTTAATACCTTGATAGATTTGAGATTAATTTAAAGCAGCATTATGATTTGTTGCTACTAGTATACTAATTATTTACAAATATTTAGACTGCTTAATTTTAATATAAAAATGTTAGAATATTAAATAATAAATTAAACATAATATAATATTTTTAAGAAGTTTATTAAAATCAAATATATATATCATTTAATGACGCAACATTGTCCTTTGTACTCAATCTAATTATTTTTAATGATTAATTTGGCTTTGATGCATCAAATTTCAATATAAATAGAGCAATGCCAATTAAATAATATTGACATAACCAGGAAGTTGATTAAAAATATTATTTTATTTCTAAAAATAATGTTGTTAGATAAATTTACCTATTTAATCAAACCAAAGTGTTTGAATATTTTAACATTCATCATAAATATTATAAATTTAATAAAAATAAAAATAAATTTTATCCTGAATTACATTTTACTCATTGAAGTATAAAATGTATTATCTAATTAGATTTCTTATATTTAGGACTTGGGTACCTTATGGCTTAGTTATTATTTTGAAATTTTCATTACTTAATGAAAAGTTGAACATAGTTACCTACAATGTTAATGTGATTCCGGTTTCAAAATCACAATCTTATAAAACATAATTGATAAAAAATACTTTAATCAAAGTCTGGGTGCCTAGTGTCTACCTATGTGGTAACCTTTTGTTAACTATTTAAAAAATTATTTTAAAAAATATCAGTTTAAATTAATAACAATCTGTTTGGTACTTATTGTTTTACCTATATGTTATTATTTAATTATTTAATTATTAAAATAATTGTTCACATTTACAATTGAATAATTGAACAATATTGTAAAAGGGTGAAAACAACTTTAAATAGTACCTACCTGGATATTTACTTTTGATTAATTTATAATGAAAATTTTTAAACAGATTGTTGTCAACAACTGCTTCACACTCGGCAGAAAAATCCTCAGATTCGAAAAAAGATGTTAAACAATCAAAATCCTTCACGATGAACCTGTTTCGTGGTCAATTACAAACTTCACAAGTTTTCCCATACCCAAATGTATTAAATGATGAACAAACTGAAACATTAACAAGTCTAGTTGATCCAGTGACAAAATTTTTCAAAGTATTAAACAAATTACAATTTAAAAAATCTATAATAATTTATATTTATTGATTTAATTTTTTCCAAGGAAGTCAATAACCCACTCAAGAATGATGAGATAGAAACAGTAGAACCTAACACTCTTGAAGGATTATGGGATATGGGCGCTTTCTCTTTACAAGTTCCTCAAGATTTAGGTGGCTTGGGTCTCAGCAATACTCAATATGCTAGAATGGTAGAAATTGTTGGTGCTCACGATTTAGCTGTGGGTATTGTTTTAGGAGCACATCAGTCCATTGGATTTAAAGTAAGTATTATCTACTGCATACATTATATTTGATACGGTTTATAAATCAATGATAAAATAATATCAGCTTAATGACATAGCTGGGAATGCTGAGATTTATTCTCAAACATTAAAAACTATTAAATACCTTGAACTTTAAACAATTTGAATAGTTAAAATACACTGTACTATATTATATTATGTAAACATACGCATAATATTTATGTATTCATTAATATTTAATAAACTGGAGTAGACATTAAGTAATATTTTAGTTATACAATCAAATTCCATGTATATTGTATATTTGCACTTTCTTTAGAACTTAGGCCAGGACTTGGTTTTTACAGTTCACATTTTCCAGATCTTTCTACATTAAATAGAGCTCTGTGATATTTTTATTTACTAACTATTCAAATAACCAATATTATATTTAACTGATCCTGTATATTTGGTATAGTTGAAGGGCATATTTATTACATAATCTTCCAGTAGTAGAATTAAGTTGTTCGAGGCCGGCAAATAAAATTTCTATGAATATTCTGAGTTTTTTTTTTTTAATTTTTCAAATTTTTTTCATATTAACTAACATACACATACACATAGCTATTTGACAATACATTATATGATAAAAATGTTATGTTCTACAATATTGTATTGAAAGTGGAAATCATAAAATAATTTTTATTATTATTTTATGTTTAGATAAAAAATTGTGATATTAAATATCATGTTTTTTTTATCTTTTTGAAGGATGGCATATAAAAGTAGAAAAAATAGTCATTAGTTGTATTGAAAGAGTGGGAGATTAAAGACAAAAATGTGTGAACTAATTTAAATTAGTAGGTTGTAAACACATTA